TAAACAAATCGTTAGGACCAATGAGAGTAGAGTTTCGGACGTCAACGTGACCTGGTATTCTTCTTCGTCTTTGCAAGGTTGCCAGATGGATTACAAATTGACATGGCTAGAAGGAAGGGATCTACTTTTGGCAAACTAACCATAATTTAACTAATCTTAACCCAATTCTCATAACCTGCTACGAAACGTCACATCGGACATTAATTTGACTAAAGCTGGATGCCTTCGAGCCATGACCGTTAAAAATGGACATAGAGAGCAACAGTAATGGCGTCTTTTTGTATGCGCTGGTTCGTTGGACAAAGCTAATATGGGAAAATTAATAGAGTTTTTGTAGCGTTTTTAGATAAACGCCGATATTAAGGTCTGTGCCAAACACAGGTTTAGGAGATCTTAGACTTTTTTTTTCTATGAGATGATCTTCATCAGCTAGCATCACTTTGTGAATTTTTAAGCATTTAACTGACTTGCCTAGTTAAATAAAGGTTAAATATAAAAGGCAAGTTGTCCAGGTCCTGAGGCATCACACCACCATGCTTGACCTTTTGTATGATGTTCTTACTGTAGAATGCAGTGTTTGGTTTTCGCCAGGAATAATGTAGTAGTAACCAAAAAAGTGTTAATCAAATCAAAATATATTTTATATTTGAGATTCTTCAAATAGCCACCCTTTGCCTTGATGACAGCTTTGCACACTCTTGGCATTCTCTCAACCAGCTTCACCTGGAATGCTTTTCCAACAGTTTTGAAGGAGTTCCCACACATGCTTAGCCCTTGTTGACTGCTTTTCCTTCACTCTGCCGTCCGACTCATCGCAAACCATCTCAATTAGGTTGAGGTCAGGGGATTGTGGAGGCCAGGTCATCTGATGCAGCACTCCATCACTCTACTTATTGGTAAAATAGCCCTTACACAGCCTGGAGGTGTGTTGGGTCATTGTCCTGTTGAAAAACAAATGATAGTCCTACTAAGCCCAAACCAGATGGGATGGCATGGCATATCGCTGCAGAATGCTGTGGTAGCCATGCTGGTTAAGTGTACCCTGAATTCTAAATAAATCACAGACAGTGTTACCAGCAAAGCACCCCCACACCATAACACCTCCTCCTCCATGCTTTACGGTGAGAAATACACATGCAGAGATCATCCGTTCACCCACACCGCGTCTCACAAAGACACGGCGGTTGGAACCAAAAATCTCAAATTTGGACTCCAGACCAAAGGACACATTTCCACCGGTCTAATGTCCATTGCTCGTGTTTCTTGGCCCAAGCAGGTCTCTTCTTCTTATTGGTGTTCTTTAGTAGTGGTTTCTTTGCAGCAATTCGACCATGAAGGCCTGATTCACACAGTCCCCTCTGAACAGTTGATGTTGAGATATGTCTGTGACTTGAACTCTGTGAAGCATTTATTTGGGCTGCAATTTCTGAGGCTGGTAACTCTAATGAACTTATCCTCTGTAGCAGAGGTAACTCTGGGTCTTCCATTCCTGTGGTGGTCCTCATGAGAGCCAGTTTCAGCATAGTGCTTGATGGTTTTTGCGACTGCACTTGAAGAAACTTAAAAAGTTATTGAAATGTTCCGTGTTGAATGACCTTCATGTCTTAAAGTAAAGACTGATTGTTGTTTCTCTTTGCTTATTTGAGCTGTTCTTGCCATAATATGGACTTGGTCTTTTACCAAATAGGTATTTTTCCAAACTTGGTCTTTTACCCCCCCCCCCCCCCCATCCTGTCACAACCCAACTGATTGGCTCAAACGTATTAAGAAGGAAAGAAATTCCACAAATTATGTTTTATTAAGTCATCAAGGCAAAGGGTGGCTATTTGAAGAATCTCAAATATAAAATCTATTTTGATTTGTTTAACACTTTTTTGGTTACTACATTTACATTTTAGCAGACACTCTTATCCAGAGCGACTTAATACATGTTTTTTATTATTTATATTTTCATACTGGCCCCCCGTGGGAAACGAACCCACATCCCTGCCGGCCAAACCCTCCCTTACCTTGGACGACGCTGGACCAATTGTGCGCCGCCCATGGGTCTCCCGGTCGCGGCCGGCTGCGACAGAGCCTGGACTCAAACCAGGATCTCTAGTGGCACAACTAGCACTGCGATGCAGTGCCTTAGACCACTGCGCCACTACATGATTCCATATGTGTTATTTCATAGTTTTGATGTCTTCACTATTATTCTACAATGTAAAAAATTGTAAAATTAAAGAAAAACCCTTGAATGAGTAGGTGTGTCCAAACTTTTGACTGGTTGTGTATATATATATAATTGATAGATATCAAACACAAGCAGTTGTACAAGTTCAAGGGGTAAATCCATCATGGTTATATTTTTTTTTTTACATATACATTTGAGTCATTTAGCAGACGCTCTTATCCTTAGTGAGTGCATACATTTTTCATACTGGCCCCCCGTGGGAATCGAACCCACACCCCTGGTGTTGCAAGCGCCGTGCTCTACCAACTGAGCTATAGGAGGGACATCAACAAAGAAAGAAACAATGATGATAATCAGAAAACATAGGCCTCTAGTAACCTACAATAATAATAACTACAAAAACATTACAAAGGAATAATTAATATTGCAAATAAACAGTTTCCACATCATTGCCCAACTTTCTGCTCAGATACACAACTCACATTTCTCCATGCAATAAGCTTACATATAGGCAAAAACAGTACTGTTTCCCCTTACTCGCCTTACCTTTATGGCTGCCACACTTTAGTATAAATTTTTTCATTTCCTTTCATCCTATAGCGCTAAGTCTTTTCATAGGCAAAATCTTAAAAATCTCCTGATACCTCTGTGACACTGTGATCCTGATACTACCAATGTTTGTCTATGGTGATTGCATGGTGGTGTGCTCGATTTTATACACTTGTCAGCAACGGGTGTGGCTGAAATAGCCGAATCCACTAATTTGAAGGGGTGTCCACATACTTTTGTATATATATATATAGTGTATTTGGTACAAAATCAATGCTAGCTCTTAAAGGGGCTGTAGCCTAAATTGGGTTTACAATTTTCAATGACAGTATTATTTAATCTGAAGTTATTCTTCTGCTATTTATTCTGTTACCAATAATATTTACATGTTAATATTATCTTCTGATTACAACTTCTATTAGCTGTCCGATAACAGGTTCTGATGGAATGGCTTGGCAAAAGATCTTGGTTCCTTTCTAAACATTGCAATGTGAATGCAAAGATGTGAACGCAAATCTCAAGTTAGAGAATGATCACAATGATAAACTTTTGAATTAATACAAACTTTATGTGAACCCACTGTTGGGGGGCATGTGTAATCTGGAGGCGACTGTGTTGACCACTAGACCAACCTCCAGTACAGCATTCATTTCTGACATCATGCCCCTTTACCATGTGGTCCTTGTAACATCATTCTCCTCTCTTTTCAGACAATGACAAAGCTCGTATTGGGTTTCTGGACGTTCTCATCAGCTTCACATCTCTGGTTTTACTCTTTGCTCTATATAAATGTACTCATAAAAAAAGTGTTTCTACGTCAACGCTTACTAAAGTCACTTTCACATCATGTAAAGAGCCAAATACTATTTGGATTTAGGTCTTCAAAAGCTCTTGAACTAAACATAGGCCTACAATAATAACATTGTTAGTAATTTGTCAATTAGTTGGTGATTATGCTAATGCTAGTGCCTCTTGCTAATGAAGATAGCAATTTTGAACCACTGTATATGTTATGTTGCCAGCCACCCCTTTGTATAACAAACCACTGTTAAACTGTATAGTAAATCATGTTTGAAAGCTAAATAGGAGACAACTACAGTATCTGAAACCGTTTACCCATCTAATCTGGATCCCAATATCTCTTATTTATCTCAGAATACATGCCTGTTTGCTCACCACAGGTTGTTTGTGTGTTTTGCTTATTGTTGCGCTCTGATTAACTGTAGATTTGAAATGCAGGCTGATTTTAGTTGATAACCAAATGTAACTGTGATTTGAAGACCCCCAAATAATACATAAAAGTCTAACCTCTCTTAAAGTTTAAATGTCCAGTAAAAAAATTTCTCTTCAAAACAATTCCCCTGTGTATAACTTTCACTATAGAGCACCTATACTCTCTCCAAGGATCCAGGACTTTACACTAAGTCTGACCCTGCATATCCCAGTACTATTGTAGAGCAGTGGAGGCTGCTGAGGGGAGGACGGTTCATAATAATGGCTGGAGTGAAGTTTAATGGCTGGAATGGAGTGAATGGACACACATGTGTTTGATACCATTCCATTAACTCCATTCCAGCCATTATTTATCTCTTTGTGAAAATTTGTCAATTACAAGATATGAACTCATAGTGCATTTTACATAACTCCCATGGTTTATTTAAGAGCAGCTCCTTACTTAAAGTCACTGTAAACTGGGGGAAATGTAACAGGTGAGTTATATTGTATTGGACTTAAATAAATAAATATGCCATTTAGCAGACGCTTTTATCCAAAGCGACTTACAGTCATGCGTGCATACATTTTTGTGTATGGGTGGTCCCGGGGATCGAACCCACTACCTTGGCGTTACAAGCGCTGTGCTCTACCAGCTGAGCTACAGAGGACCACACAACTTAATCCTGGCTCTCCAATTTAGAGATTGTACTAGTAATGCAATACAATAGAACTGTTTGTTAATAATGATAGTTGGTTAATGAAAATCAAAGTCATGAAACCATGAGCTGAAAACATTCAGCGCTGATTTCAAAGACTCAGATAATACCCTTTGCTGGACTGAAGTGCACTTTCAATCAGGACTTTAAAGTTACATTCACCAGTAATATTCTAAGTAGTGCAGAAGTACGTTAATGTGTTAGTGGAAGCATATCTAGGTCACATAATTTCTACTGTCTTTGTTTAGGTCCTAAAATTGTTTGTAAAGATTACTTTTCCCATCATACACCACGCTGTGAGCGAACAAGTCATCACTGCGCCTGCTCAGAACAGAGGAAGTGAGGGTGAAAAATGGCGGCAGTGTTACTGCAAGCGCTGGAGCGCGCTGAGCTAGCGAAGCTCCCAAAAGCTGTTCAAAATAAACTAGAAAAGTTATTCTCTGATCTGCAATATGAAATAGATTCCCTCAAGTCACACCAGGAGCAATTTAGAGTCGATAGCGGTAAGTTATAGCCGAATAAGTCATTGTAATGTTGTGTACAGTCCCAGCTAGCTAGCTAACGTTAGTTATGCTACGTAGCTAGCTAAAGACAGTATCGCTGATAGAAGAATGAGACAGATATTTCACCGGATGTATAAATGTGATGCATCCGCTTGGCGTTTCCACTCACTGCCAAATATGGTAGTGAGAGGAAGCACAGTTGCCTGCAGTGAGAGAAGATGGAACGAGTTGGATTTTGGCCGACATTATGTTTAATTTAACTAATTAATTTAACTAATTTTCTAATCGATGAAACATTTGATTCCAATACAAGTTTCTGTTCCCAAAACTAGAATATGTTACGAACAGAGTGGACTACGTTTTGTAGACTTTACTCTTTGCCAAAATAAAATTGACAAATTGCCTTGTTTAGAAGGAGTGCAAAGGCAAATTGAGTTATTGTACACGCGCACTTCAGAGTAGGCGTTCCCTAACGGAAATATGCGCATGCATGCTAGAACGCACCAATAGGATCTCGCTAGCTCGTGCTTGGCTCTGCCCACCTCCATGCTGGTTCTGCCCACAATGACTTTGTTCCCATTTGAAACGTCGGGCTGTGGTCTATCTTGGTTTAGTAAAAAAAATATTTGGTATCGCAGAAAAATGAGGTTTACTTATGCAAATATTTGACAGTATACGTTAGTTAGCTCAGATAACGTGGATGGCCATTGCCGGCAGCATCGACAACTGTTTGTTAGCTAGTTAGCTACAAGGCATAGTGATGTGATGGATACAAAAAATAGTTAGCTAGCTAGGGTAGCTAGCCAACATTGTTCATCAGCCATGCCTAAATTGTTAAGCTAATTAGCTAGTTCACTGGCTGACGTTAGTTCGTTTGTTGAGAACTTCTCTATAACGTTACTCCCAGCTAACTTTATTAAACTACTTTGATTTATCATTTCGCCTTCAAGACAAGATCAGCCAAGTTAACATGTTGTTGTCACTCTTGTAGAACAACAGTTCTTTGAGAAAGTGCAACGTCTTGAACACAGTCAGGAACAGTTTGTGACCCAGACTGAACAGCACCACAAACTCCGAGAGGAGTTCACCAAGATCGGTAAGTGGAACTAGCTACTTTATTCGCTATTTACTGACATTACCTTTTTCTTCTTCTTCTGTGGGTTTTATATGGCGGTTGGCGACTAACTTTAAGGTGCATTACCGTCACCAAGTGGTCGAAATCCTACCCAATAATCTTGAATCCCTAAGGAAACGGAATACATAATTAAATACTACATCCCCTGAAGATTTCCCCAGCAGTTCACTTAATCCTGGCTCTCCAACCCCATTACTCCTCAAATCTTGTAACAATCACTCCCTTTCTCGCTCATATTTCTGGCACTGAAATAGAACATGTTCCACTGTCTCCATCTCCTCCTGACAATAATCACACCTCCCAGTCAGATGTTTCCCCAACAAGTTGAATGTACTATTTAACCTTCTGACCATGACCTAAGATTGACCTTGGGTCAAGTACATCCCATCATTGGGGGGGGGGGGTGACGATCCACCATTAATGAAATTGCAATTTTTTTCTACAGATGAAGAACTCAAGAGTGTACGGGAAAAGAATAAAGAGTATGAAATCAACCAAGAGAAGTTGACATCTGAACAGGTGAGAGCCTCATGGTCTTGTCACCTCTTTAACGGTTTGTGTAGGGCTGGGCGATATATCAAATTAATTAGATTTATTGAAATTTGTTTTTGCGCCATATTCCAAATACCTGTATTGCAAGAATCAAGTTTTTATAAGCGTTTATCTCCACTTGTTCTCATGTTATCTTTTTGGTCAAGTCTCCTTCGCACATTCTGTGCTGTGTGCACCTTCCCGTTTGCACCAGAGATCTGGCTATAATGACGAGATGCTCATGTCTCCGCCCGAACAAGGGGAGTCGTTGTCCCAAAGGCGGCAAGCTTATGTCCATAGAATCGCATTGGGCTTATTTTGGACAGATTTTGGTGAGAGTGAAACCTCTCTGTTCGTCCCTTCCTCTCTGTTTACACACACACACACACTGACCAAGCCCCTCCCCCTGCCACTCACAAAAACAAAGATGAGAGATCACTTCTTCCTCTCTGACAAGCATTTTCAAATCGCTGTTTGTGGTTTGGTTCAACAGAATTGGTCATATGGATACCCAAACACGTTGAGACATTATTTTACTGTAATAGAGGATAAGTTAACATTTCTAACAATACCCTTTGGAAATTAATTTTAATTTTTTGTCAAGCACGGCATTGCGGCATTTTAGCCAAAGATGACTAGCTGTCTAGTCTGTTTTTATAAATGTGCAATAAGCATAAAACATAATTATATAAGGAATTGGTAATATAAGGTAGGCCGCTTGATTTTAACATCTGAACAAAGTGGACAGGCTAACATGCTGTTCAAACAGTTGGAGACGGACAGAAGGGTGTATTCATAACAATTCAACTTTTCTGCCTTGTTAGCTAGCAAATAGATCCAAGGTGGCTAAACTTGAACTATAAAGATTAGCTGGCTACTCACTAGCACGTGGGCTTGTGCTAGAGAGATTGTTTATGAAACCTGTGTTCATTTTCTATAATGCCTGCTACAAGAAGTGTCATTATTAGTGAATGTGCATTATCCATGGTTCTGGTGGAATTTGTAACAAAAAAGGCATTTTCATAGACTTGTAAGCCAGATCAGTGATTATAAAAAATAAAAGAAAAAATCAGGTTAAAATATATTGATAAAATACTTAAATGATTAGTGGGTCTTATGGAGGTGGAAGGCTTATATTTAGGCTATGTATCATTTCACAAGCCCTGAATTCATTAGATTATTGCTGACTGTTTGAAATGCAGTGTATTTGACCTTTCATTGTACAACAAAGCTTATTTAGAGAACATTAAAACGATTGATATATAGACATATATATATATATATATATATATATTGAATCGTCCATAAGTTTGAAAAAAATCCAGATATCATTTTTAGGCCATATCACCCAGCCTTAGGTTCGTGTTGACACCTTATTTGACATTGACTCAAACATCTTTATTATAGGCCCAGCTCTGTAAAGCCAAAAATGAACTGGAGGCAGAGAAGCGGGAGCTTGTGCGTACACTGGAGAGGAGATCCCAGGAAGTGGACTATCTGAGTGGTATGGATGAATCTATGTGGAGAGATACAAACAAGCAAACACACACATACACTTGATCTAATGTCTATTGGATTAATTTTCTCATCAGAGGACCTGCAGCGCCTCAATGACAAAGTGGCGGAAGTCAATGCCTCAAAGATGGTGCTGCAGCTCAAGTTGGACGAGCTTGAATCCACAGAGGTCAACATCAAGGTGAGCCTATTTGAACGCTCTGTAACTTGTGGCCACTTGAATAGGACCCGGCTCTCAAGGAAGGTGTTGAAATGATCTGATACATGTATACATCATGTGTAATCTACGCTGTTGTGCCGGTTCCCTCCAGTACCGTGAGAAGCGTATGGAGCAGGAGAAGGAGCTATTGCAAGGCCAGACGGCCTGGCTGAACGCAGAGCTCAAGGCTAAGAGTGAGGAGCTACTGGCCCTGTCACGCCAGAAGGGCAACAAGATCCTGGAGCTGAAGTGCAGCCTGGAGAACAAAGAGGATGAGGTAAGGCCATGACAGTTAAAAAACAACAACATATTTTATAGCTGTACATTCTGGTTTTCATATTCATCTATTGAGTATGTTTTTGATACACTACCGGTCAAAAGTTTTAGAACACCTACTCATTCAAGGGGTTTTCTTTATTTTTACTATTTTCTACATTGTAGAATAATAGTGAAGACATCAAAACTATGAAATAACACATATGGAATCATGTAGTAACCCAAAAAGTGTTAAACAAATCAAAATAGCCACCCTTTGCCTTGATTACAGCTTTGCACACTCTTGGCATTTTCTCAACCAGGTAGTCACCTGGAATGCATTTCAATTAACAGGTGTGCCATCTTAAAAGTTAATTTGTGGAATTTCTTTCCTTCTTAATGCGTTTGAGCCAATCAGTTGTGTTGTGACAAGGTAGGGGGTATACAGAAGATGGAGTGAGGGAAAAAACTATTTGATCCCCTGCTGATTTTGTACGTTTGCCCACTGACAAAGACATGATCAGTCTATAATTTTAATGGTAGGTTTATTTGAACAGTAAGAGACAGAATAACAACAAAAAAATCCAGAAAAATGCATGTCAAAAATTTTATAGATTGATTTGCATTTTTAATGAGGGAAATAAGTATTTGACCCCTCTGCAAAACATGACTTAGTACTTGGTGGCAAAACCCTTGTTGGCAATCACAGAGGTCAGACGTTTCTTGTAGTTGGCCACCAGGTTTGCACACATCTCAGGAGGGATTTTGTTCCACTCCTCTTTGCAGATCTTCTCCAAGTCATTAAGGTTTCAAGGCTGACATTTGGCAACTCGAACCTTCAGCTCCCTCCACAGATTTTCTATGGGATTAAGGTCTGGAGACTGGCTAGGCCACTCCAGGACCTTAATGTGCTTCTTCTTGAGCCACTCCTTTGTTGCCTTGGCCATGTGTTTTGGGTCATTGTCATGCTGGAATACCCATCCACAACCCATTTTCAATGCCCTGGCTGAGAGAAGGAGGTTCTCACCCAAGATTTGACAGTATATGGCCCCGTCCATCGTCCCTTTGATGTGGTGAAGTTGTCCTGTCCCCTTAGCAGAAAAACACCCCCAAAGCATAATGTTTCCACCTCCATGTTTTACATTGGGGATGGTGTTCTTGGGGTCATAGGCAGCATTCCTCCTCCTCCAAACACGGCGAGTTGAGTTGATGCCAAAGAGCTCCATTTTGGTCTGATCTGACCACAACACTTTCACCCAGTTCTCCTCTGAATCATTCAGATGTTCATTGGCAAACTTCAGACAGGCATGTATATGTGCTTTCTTGAGCAGCAGGACCTTGTGGGCGCTGCAGGATTTCAGTCCTTCACGGCGTAGTGTGTTACCAGTTGTTTTATTGGTGACTATGGTCCCAGCTGCCTTGAGATCATTGACAAGATCCTCCTGTGTAGTTCTGGGCTGATTCCTCACCGTTCTCATGATCATTGCAACTCCACGAGGTGAGATCTTGCATGGAGCCCCAGGCCGAGGGAGATTGACAGTTCTTTTGTGTTTCTTCCATTTGCGAATAATCGCACCAACTGTTGTCACCTTCTCACCAAGCTGCTTGGCGATGGTCTTATAGCCCATTCCAGCCTTGTGTAGGTCTACAATCTTGTCCCTGACATCCTTGGAGAGCTCTTTGGTCTTGGCCATGGTGGAGAGTTTGGAATCTGATTGATTGATTGCTTCTGTGGACGGGTGTCTTTTATACAGGTAACAAACTGAGATTAGGAGCACTCCCTTTAAGAGTGTGCTCCTATTCTCAGCTCGTTACCTGTATAAAAGACACCTGGGAGCCAGAAATCTTTCTAATTGAGAGGGGTTCAAATAATTATTTCCCTCATTAAAATGCAAATCAATTTATAACATTGTTGACATGCGTTTTTCTGGATTTTGTTGTTGTTATTCTGTCTCTCACTGTTCAAATAAACCTACCATTAACATTATAGACTGATTATTTCTTTGTCAGTGGGCAAACGTACATAATCAGCAGGGGATCAAATACTTTTTTCCCTCACTGTAGCCCTATTTGGTAAAAGACCAAGTCGATATTATGGCAAGAACAGCTCAAATAAGCAAAGAGAAACGACAGTCCATCATTACTTACAGAACATTTCCATTAGTTTCTTCAAGTGCAGTCGCAAAAACCATCAAGTGCTATGATGAAACTGGCTCTCATGAGGACCGCCACAGGAATGGGAGACCCAGAGTTACCTTTGCTGCAGAGGATAAGTTCATTAGAGTTACTAGCCTCAGAAATTGCAGCCCAAGTAAATGCTTCAGAGTTAAGTTGAAGACATCTCAACATCAACTGTTCAGAGGAGACTGTGTGAATCAGGCCTTCATGGTTGAATTTCTGCAAAGAAACCACTACTAAAGGACACCAATAAGAAGGAGAGACTTGCTTGGGCCAAGGAACATGAGCAATGGACATTAGACCGGTGGGCGAACGGATGATCTCCGCATGTGTATTTCCCACCGTGAAGCATGGAGGAGGAGGTGTTATGGTGTGGGGGTGCTTTGCTGGTGACACTGTCTGTGATTTATTTAGAATTCAAGGCACACTTAACCAGCATGGCTACAACAGCATTCTGCAGTGATACGCCATCCCATCTGGTTTGGGCTTTGTGGGACTATCATTTGTTTTTCATCAGGACAATGACCCAACACACCTCCAGGCGGTGTAAGGGCTATTTTACCAAGAAGGAGAGTGATGGAGTGCTGTATCAGATGACCTGGCCTCCAGAATCCCCCGACCTCAACCAAATTGAGATGATTTGGGATGAGTTGGATGGCAGAGTGAAGGAAAAGCAGCCAACAAGTGCTCAGCATATGTGGGGACTCCTTCAAGACTGTTGGAAAAGCATTCCATGTGAAGCTGGTTGAAAAAGAGTCCAAAGCTGTCATCAAGGCAAAGGGTGGCTATTTGAAGATTCTCAAATATAAAATATACTTTGATTTTTTACTACAAGATTCCATGTGTTATTTCATAGATTTGATGTCTTCACTATTATTCTACAATGTAGAAAATAGTAAAAAAAATTAAGGAAAACCCTTGAATGAGTAGGTGTTCTAAAACCTTTGACTAGTAGTGTATGTGAATGTCTCCAAACTATTACCTGACTGGCTCCTCTCCCAGTACTGTGTCAACATGATCGTTTTTTTTTTTTTATGTAGTTGAACAGAGTCCAGGACCAAGTGACCAGTTTGAAGACTTCAAATGAAAGCCTTCAGAAGCAGGCTGAAGACATAATCAACAAACTGAAAGAGGATAAGGAGCAGCAGGCTAGCATGGAGGAGAAGTTTAGAAACGAGCTGAATGCCAACATAAAGCTCTCCAACTTGTACAAGGTATGTAGAACAAGTCTTTGATTTGTTTTGAATTCCAATGGATAGTCCATAGCTCTCCTAATAAAGGCGGTCGTCATTGCTATCTTGATGGTTTTTTTTTGTTGCCTTTTTTGTAGGTAAGCTTTTGGTGAACATTTTAGTTAACTGGTTCATGCTACATTTTTGTGGTAAGTGCATTGTTCCTTTCCCAACACTGGCCAACAACCCGTTACCTTGTCTTCCCAGGGAGCTGCTGCAGACTCTGAGTCCAAGAGTGAGGAATTGAGTGGGGCTGTAGAGGAGCTGCACAAGCTGCTGAAGGATGCTGGAGAGGGTGAGAGAGACCAGACAGACACCATCTCAATGCAAAACCTTCAAACACGGGCACTTGGTTTGCTTGTGACAAGTAGGCTACCTTTATCCTCTCCTTTCCGCTCTACAGCGAACAAGGCCCTGGAGGTGAGGTTGCAGGAGATGGATGGCTGTCGGGACAAGGAGGCTGCTGAGCTGAAGGAGAGGATCTCCAGTCTGGAGAAAGAACTGGAGAATGCCAACGAACTGCTGTCCGACACCAAGCTCAGAGGTCAGGCCTTAGACACAATTTCTTGCCTGGTTCTACTGAACAGTTGACTGGACTGTAAAATTGCTTGATTTCGGACAATGTCTCTCAGAATTAACATAATTACCAGCAGGTTTGATTGTATTTGAATGTGCATTAGATGGCTAATATAAACTGTCCACTGACTGATTTGTATTAGGTTGATGTGGCTTCTTTGATCATGCTCTGGAGACTTTAGTTCGAAATGGAGAATGAACTTTGACCCTGTGCATGGTTGTGTGTGTCCAGGCCCTGCCGGTGCAGCCTCAGTGCTGTCAGAGGAAACGATTACAACCATGTCCCCGACTGCAGCCGCCGTGGCCAAGATAGTCAAACCTGGCATGAAGCTGACTGAGGTAACCACCGCAGTTGCACTGCTTTGGTGACAGAGGACTCTTCTATGTCACATATTTAAACATTGTCATGTCACATATTTACTTAACATTTACAGAATTAATCTGCAGAGATTGACTTTGCTAAGAAAACGGTTATATTAAAATACAATGCTTATAGTACCAATGGTGGGACTGTATAACTGTTTGAGCGACCTCTATCTTCTCTCCAGTTGTACACAGCGTATGTGGAGACCCAGGAGGCACTGCAGCTGGAGCGTGTGGAGAACAAGCGGGTGAATAAGTACCTGGATGACATAGTGCAGGAGGTGGAGGCTAAGGGTCCCATTCTCAAACGCCAGAGGGATGAGCATGAGCGCATGCTGAAATCTGTGGCCAGCCTGTCAGCAAAGCTGGAACAGGCAGTTAAGGTGTGTGGGTTTGAGTTTGTGCATTTTATTATTGGCATACAGAGTACCAAGAGACCTGTGTTAGTTAAACATCTGAGGATATGTGAGGATAATTAGAAACCAATCCAGTCAACTCCTGATAAATGCAATGGCTTGGGATGGTACTAAACTGTAGCATGGATGATATGATGAGTTTCTCTGGTATTAAGGAAGTCAGGATGCAAGAATACAAATAAACTCTAAGATGGAGATTTGATACAATGTATTTAATTATACGGCACCGGATTCAACATAACAAGCTGCAAGTGAGTTGCCTCTTGCTATCAGAATGAGAGACAAAGAGACCTCTCAATTTATATACTTCAAGATAAACAAGTTTTAACCAACATCTGGCAACCATCACTGGAATACCCTCCCAACCGAGATGGTACCAGCCGGCACCCCAGATGGGACAGTCCCTCTAGAACTCATTCTAAGATAACGAACAGTGGTTCCTTCAGACTTTCTGGCTCCCAGAGTGACTTGATAAAATGGATTGAACACAATCCCAAATCCTGTGTGAACACTTAATATCAATGGAGCATGTCCAGAGTAAGTGAAAATAAATGTATTTGTGTTGGTGTTGGTGAACTACACTGCATTGTATTTTAGTTAGTTTCTGTCACGTGCACTACAGTGAAATGCCTTTCTTGCTTGCTCTTTCCCTACAATGCAGTAATACTATAACAAATTAATTTAAAAAAGTCTAGTACGAAAAATAAAAATAAGAACACGTGTAAGTGATATATGCATGAATACATACAGTACTAGTCAAGTTTGGACACCTATTTATTCAAGTATTTAAAAAAATTTTTTTTTAAACTATTTTCTACCTTGTAGACATTAAAACTATGAAATAACACATGGAATCATGTTTTAACCAAAAAAAGCTGCTTTTCCTTCACTCTGCCATCCAACTCATCCCAAACCATCTCAATTGGTGAGAGGTCAGGTGATTGTGGAGGCCAGGTCATCTGATGCAGCACTCCATCACTCTCCTTCTTGGTCAAATAGCCCTTACACAGCTTGGAGGTGTGTTGGGTCATTGTCCTGTTGAAAAACAAATGATAGTCCCACTAAGCACAAACCAGATGGGATGGCGTATCGCTGCAGAATGCTTTGGTAGCCATGCTGGTTAAGTGTGCCTTGAATTCTAAATAAATCACAGACAGTGTCACCAGCAAAGCACCCCCACACCACCACCTCCATGCTTCACGGTGGGAAATACACATGTGGAGATCATCTGTTCACCTACACTGCGTCTCACAAAGACACAGCGGTTGGAACCAAAAATCTCACATTTGGACTCCAGACCAAAGGACACATTTCCACCGGTCTAATGTCCATGCTCGTGTTTTTTGGCCCAAGCAAGTCTCCTCTTCTTATTGGTGTCCTTTAGTAGTGGTTTCTTTGCAGCAATTCGACCATGAAGGCCTGATTCACACAGTCCCCTCTGAACAGTTGATGTTGAGATGTGTCTGTTACTTGAACTCTGAAGCGTTTATTTGGGCTGGAATTTCTGAGGCTGGTAACGCTAATGAACTTATCCTCTGCAGCAGAGGTTACTCTGGGTCTTCCTTTCCTGTGGCGGTCTTCATGAGAGCCAGTTTCATCATAGCGCTTGATGGTTTTTGCGACTGCACTTGAAGAAACTAATTTAAATGTTCTGGATTGACTGACCTTCGACCTTCATGTCTTAAAGTAATGATGGACTTTCGTTTCGCTTTGCTTATTTGAGCTGTTCTTGCCATAATATGGACTTGGTCTTTTACCAAACAGGGCTGTCTTCTGTATACCCCCCTACCTTTTCACAACACAACTGATTGGCTCAAACGCATTAAGAAGGAAAGAAATTCCACAAATTAACTTTTAAGAAGGAACACCTCTTAATTGAAATGCATTCCAGGTGACTCTCATGATGCTCGTTGAGAGCATGCCAAGAGTGTGCAAAGCTGTCATCAAGGGTGGCTATTTGAAGAATCTCAAATATATATATATATATATATATATATATACACACACACACACACACACACACACGGTCAGTTCCAGGGTCAGTGCCAATACCATATTTACAATGTGCAGGGAAACTGGAGTGATAGAGGTAGATATGTATAGGGGTAAGGTGACTAGGCATCAGGATATATGATAAACAGTGTAGCAGCAGCGTATATGATGATTGTGTGTGTGTAGAGTCAGTATGAATGTGTGTGCGACGTGCGTGTTGTGTGTGTGTGTGAGCAAATGAAGTGTGTGTAGAATGTGCATGGAGACAGTGCAAAAATAAAATGGATTGGTCAATGCAGATAGTGTGTAGACATTTTGTTAGCTATTTAGCAGTCTTATGGCTTGGGGATAGAAGCTGTTCAGGAGCCTGTTGGTGTCAGACTTGATGCTCCAGTACCGCTTGCTTTGGTTGCTATTCGTGCACTGCACTTGCCTATGACGTGCACTTATAGTGTGGCAGAAACCATTTAGTGGACTTATAAGTAGTTACTGTGTGTTTCAGGAGGTGCACCGTCTGCAGAAGGTGACTGATGAGGCCAACAAGCGCTCTTCTGTCCTGGAGAGAGACAACCAGAGGTCTGAGGTGCAGCTTGCAGACATGGGGCAGCAGGTGGGGCCCAAACAGAACATCCTGTCTTATAACCTCACTATTGTCATAGAATTAGGTGTGAAAAATCAATAACAATGTAGATAATAAAATGAGGGTTTTAGGTATAAGGTTTAATTGGGACATAATCATTAACTTTTTCACCCCTCACCCCCTACCCTAACCCACCAGATCCGTGTCCTACTCATTGAACTGGAGGAGGCGCGTGGTAACCACGTAGCCCACGATGAGGAGGTGAGCTCTGCTGACATCAGCAGCACATCGGAGGTCATCACGCAGCACTTGGTGACATTCCGTGGCGTGGAGGAGCTTCAGCAGCAGAACCAGCGCCTCCTGGTGGCCCTCAGAGAGCTCAGCGACGCACAGGAGAGAGAGGAGGCAGAGACCACTGGCACCAAGTGTGATATCCTTAATTGTCCATATTTTTTGCCGATCATTTGTTTTGCTTTCAACCCCCCAAGATAAGTGTCCAATTACACTAGATACTTTTGTGGATCTGACATTGTTGGATGGGCATAAGCAATATGGTGGTAGCTCCTGCTCCACCTTCCCCTTTGGTTTCCCTGTCTCAGTAAAATGTTTCTGTCTGTGGATAAATAAAGGTAATTCTATTCTCCCCTCCCCCCAGGCGCAGTGAGCTGGAGTGCAGTCTGGAGAAGGCCCAGGCAGAGCTAGTGGCTCTGCGGGAGCAACGGAGCCACCAGATGCAGCTGGCTGAGTCCATCGTCAGGCAGAGAGACATGTACCGAGTGCTGCTGGCCCAGGCCACCGGAGTCACCTTCCCTCAGCAAGGTCGGGTTCAGGTTAATTCACATTTCCTTCTTCAGGTCCTGATGAGGCTAGTGTAGCAGAAACGTTCTATATGTGGGTGCATGAATAAAGCACAGGAGCAGCATATACCGTGTGCAGGCTTTTGGTTCATAAGTAATTTTAGGTCCAGCCCCGGTGGAGAACTTTGGGATGTGTATATGTCACCTACATACTGATCTTTTGACCCCTTGTCTCAGGTGCAGCAGCCGCCGAGGAGTTCTCCTTGACCTCCACCCCTCGCCGCTCCCCGGCCGCCACCCCCACCACGCCCACTGGAATCATTACTATGGCGACAGAGTCAACCGAGGCGGTGGAGGCCAAGGCAGCCCTCCGACAGGTGAGCCCCCACAATCATCTGCGCTTGTGTGTTTGACACGTTTTCTTAGTCACTAGAGGGCAGTATATACCTACTAACTACTGGAATTCTGTGACGTCTACTGTTTTAATATTGAAAACGGTACTCTGCAAATCAGTGTACATGTATACAGCATTGCTTGATACATCAAACATTCTGTCCTTTTTGTTGCACCAAACCACCATGATAGATCACAAACAATATCCTTCAATCAGGTTTACACAAAATGGTTGCAGTACTCTTATCTAAAGGAACGTCTTGTTTTGTGTGTTTTAGTTGCAGGAGGTGTTCTCGTCCTATAAGAGGGAGAGGGCTGAGAGTGTCAAGGCCCTGGCGGAGCAGAGTGAGAAGCTACAGGAGCAGGTGTCTGAGCAGAGATCCCAGAACGCCAAGATATCCACCCAACTGGAGTTTACCTCCAAGAGGTAAGAGCATTGCACAGCACTCTCAGGTCACTATTCAACACAATGGCACACGATTAGGGTTGCAAAATTCTGGGAACTTTCCCTAAATTCCCTGTTTTTTTTTTCAGAAGGTGTTTTGGACATTTATCTTTCTCTGTGAACTTGGGAACATGAAGTTATTTCAGAATATTTTGCAAAGTTCGCTTGATAACTTACTGAACCTGCCTGGTGACGTGCCCCCCCAGGTATGAGATGCTTCAGGATAATGTGGAGAGCTACAGGAAGGAGATTGCCTCTCTGATGGAGAAGGGACAGAAGATGGCTGCTGCAGCCCAGAAGAGTGAGCAGACTGTTCACACCATGACCCAGGACCTGAGGGTTGCACAGGAGAAACTAAACATGGCAGAGGTGTGTACCTCTATGTTTGTGTGTTCCAAGTATTTTGTTAATTGTTAGAAAAAATACAATACTTACTCTCACTCTCGTAATGTGTGTTTGTTAGTGGTTTGCTCCGAATTTCTATACATGCATTACGTCTAGTTTCGAAGCCACAGTTGAGCTGAGTGTTTTCCTCCTCCAGGGTCGTGCTGAGAGCCTCAGGAAGGAGAGAGATATGCTGAAGCTAGTGGAGTCCAGACTGACCCAGGAGAAGGAGACCATCCAGACTCAACAACGAGGACAGAACATGCTGCTCACCAACCTCAAGACCATACAGGTACACACATACAGACACACACCAATCTCAAGACAATAGATACATCTCACACTAACCACTCATAAAATGGTGGCTGCACTGTTCTCTCTGCGTTCGTGTCATGTTTTAACTGTTCCCTTCCCGGTGTGCTCATCCAGGCCACATTGGAGCGCTCCGAGACAGATACCAGGCAGCGTCTGAACGCCCAGATAGAGAAGCAGGAGAGAGAGATCGGCCAGCTGCAGAAGAGACTGGAGCACGAGGTGGAGCAACGCCACCTGCTGAGCAGAAACCAAGATGTAAGTCCATCCAAGAATCATCCCAGGTCCAACCACACCCCCCCCCCCCCACTCTACCTGGATTCTATCCATCTTTCTCCTCTAATATAACACTTATAAATTTTTCCCCAAGAGACTTGTTTCAAAAAAGCAAAACTCAAGCATTTGTTACATACTATACATAAAATCAACCCTTCCTCCCCTCTCCCCATCCAGTTGCAACTGATGGATGCCAAGAGGCAGCTGGAGACTCAGATTGCCCTGCTCCAGAAGACCAGGGATCAGCTGAGTGCTGCCCAGCTGGAGGTGAGCTCTCTCAGGCTGCAGCAGGGCAGTGGAGAGGGTGGTCGTCTGTCCCTGAGCACCCCGTCGACTCCCATGGGCCTCAGAGGTAAGAGTACATACAATGTTACAGAATCACATCAGGTTCACTGCCTTCTGAGACATCATAGTGTTCTGGAACCACTCATAGAAGTTCTTATAGCCTGAATGTTGGAATGGCTCGAATGTGGATAGTACTCAGTTGGAGTTTTCTTCAATACACAGGCACTTACACAATTACTATTTTAAATCCCAGTTTGTTGTCCTGTCTTTAAATAGCCTCTGATCTTTTTCAAATGTCACAGCTAAATGTCAGACTTAAAGATGCAGTAATGTCAGAAGCTAGCAGATTCGTTACTTACCAACAACAGCTGCAAATTCCAATAAAAATACGTCACGTTTTGAAGTTCACTTTCCTTGCTTTGTCTAACACGGTCATGAATCAACAAATAGGTTTTGTGGGTCAGAGTGCAGTATTTATTTAGTTTCATAGCTCAAACGTTTGTTAGCACGTTTCCTTATTAAAGCTGTGGGATGTGTCCTAGTTTTCCATGTAGCTATAGGTCAGGTCAGTGTCTACAGCTATGCTTTCATTAGTTTGTCTTATGACATTTTATAGGAAATGTAGTAAAACAGGCTAAATAAAACCCTGAAACAGTCCTGGAGGGTGTGTTGTTCTGGGGCATGCACCATTAGCAGTGTTATGGAGGTTTCATTAGGGTTCTCCTGGATTTTCGTTCTATGCTGCCCATGCCAGCTGTGATCTCAGTCTTTGGCACTTACCTCTTTCTCTCCTTACCTCTCCTCACCAGTCTTCTCCTCTCAACTCCCCACCCCTCCAGGTCTCCAGGTTTCAGAAGGGGACTCTGAGGATCTGCATGGCCGCCTGAGGCAGGCCGAGACACGGGCAGAGGAGCTGACGGAGCAACTGAGGACAGCCACCTCCAGCATGGAGCTGTACAGAGCCATGGCCCAGAGCCTAGAGGAGTCCCTGGACAAGGAGAAGCAGGTCAGGACTCCACCCTGGCCCCTTCGTAGTGTACCTCCCTGGCCCCTAACCCCTTAGTAGGATACTAGCCTGGCACCTAAACCCTTAGTAGGATACTAGCCTGGCCCCTAAACCCTTAGTAGTATACCACCCGAGCCCCTTACTTCTTAGCAGTGCGCTAAGCTCTTAAAGTGATAGTGCAAGATTCTGGCAATTAAGCTGTTTTTCTACTTACCCAGAGTCAGATGAACTCGTGGATACCATTGTATGGTATGCTAGTGTACCTGTAGACTTCCAGTTATTGCGCTAATGCTTGTTAGCATTGGCTCACAAAACGACCTTTAACTTCGTCATACTGTACGCAGAGACATACAAATGGTATCCACAAGTTCTTCTCGCACTGTCCCTTTAAAATGAGGACAACCATGCATGACCTTCCAACTTTAGTCCTCAAACCCTATCCCTCATGCCTTTATTCAGACCCGTATCATAAACGGTACAGCCCTAACTCTCTCTCGCACTCTCTCCCTCTCGTCTCTCTAGGTGACAGAGCAGGCTCGGTCTGCCATCGAGGAGCGTGTGAAGGAGGCCCAGGAGCAGCACCGTCAGCTGGAGAAAAAGCTCCTGGAGGCAGAGAAGGAGAAGCAGGGCCTTCAGGAGGAGAAGATTAAAGACCTGGCTTCTGTTGAGCAGCAGGTACGAAGCAGAGAGGACCATTGCTAAACATCTATGCCCTTGCAGTACTTTATTATGACTATTAAGGGAACATTTCCACACTGTATAGCTCAAATGGTAGCTGAAGCGTTCAGTATTATTTAACCACATCCAGTGCACACCATAGGTGCTGGGTTCACACAATGCAGGGGTCCCCATTGTTCCATGTTGAATAAATTAACACATTTAATTTCTAAATTCCTGTTTTCCTTATCCCTGTGTGTGTCAGGTGGCTGAGCTGAGAAGGAGTCTAAGCAGTGTCCAGGCGGACCACCAGGAGGCGCTACAGAGGGCTGCAGTGGCAGCAGCCCAGGAACAGCAGGCCATACTGGACAGCCAGGAGCAGGTGAGAGGGAGAAGTGGGCCGTGGCTAATTGGCCCTTATCTTGTTGTAGTGGTGTCCCAACTTTTCACATGGCATATCTGACTAAGCTATTTGCTACCTTGTTTTCCACATGCCTGCTATAGAGCGTTACCTAGCCTGATTGTCTCTAACCCAAGTACATGTAAACCATGATACTGGTTCATACATCCATATCAACTACATTATGTATTGCATTCCAGCTAGAAGGTCAGCTAAAGCTTGTCTGTAATGCTGGTCTTCTCCTCCCTCCCAGGCCAAGCTGGCGTCAGAGGGACAGGATAAGTATGAGCGTGAGATGATGCTCCACGCTGCAGATGTGGAAGCCCTCCAGGCAGCTAAGGCCCAGGCCCTGCAGGCAGCCACGCTCAGACAGCAGCTGGAGGAGAGGGCCCAGAGAGCCTCTGCTCAGCTGCTGGAGGCCAGAGTCTCCTGGGAAGAACAGGAGAGGATCCTCAAGGTATGTAGTTGCAGTCGATTGATTGCAGTAAAAGGAGATGCTTATATTATTTATAATAGATATGGTGTTTGTGGCAAATGGTTAGAGGTGTAGATGGTGATAGTGTAAAATAGATTTTTACACTTGTGTTGTAGTTGGACGCTTGCTAGTGATTGTAAACTGCCACTCACGTTTGCAAGGGTTGTACAGTTTACATAGTTGGTGTACACCACAAGGCTGTAATGTGCATGAACTCTCTCTGTCAGGAGGAGATGTCTAAGGTGACGTCTCGTTCTGAGGAGCTGCAGAGGCAGAACAGTCTCCTCCATGAACAGATTCAGACCATGAGCAGCAAGATGGCCGCCACCATGCAGCGCCAGGCCAACGAGAGCCCTCTGAACATCTCCCTCACGGAGGAAGGCAAGTCTCAGGACCAGGTCCTTGAGATACTCAGGTAATGGTCTTTCTCTCCCCCCCTCTCTGTCTATTAGCAGAGCTAGAGCAAGTCTGCCATTTAAATCCAAATTCACGCAATCACTTCACTCCTACAACACCCTTTTCTCTCATCATATCCTCTGTCCCCTCCCTGTCGTGCTGCAGGTTTGTGCGCCGGGAGAAGGAGATAGCGGAGTCTCGATTCGAGGTGGCCCAAGGAGAGAGTCTTCGCCATAGGCTGAGAGTGGAGCACCTGGAGAGAGAGCTGAGAGAACTACAGGAGCGCCTTAGTGCTGAGAGAGAGCGGATGCAGGTGAGCTGGACACTATGGACAGCCAATGAGTTATGGCTTCATGGGGTAGTTTCCTGGACACAGGTTAAGCATATTCCTAGACTAAAACGCCCTTTCAATGGAGAGTGGAAAAACAGATTTTGTTCATAAATGAAGAGCGTGTGGGTGATTAGAGAAATGGCAGTTCAAGATGATCATATAATATCAGTGCTGCTTATGACCTTTAACCCTGACCCCAGGTGACAGCTAAGACCCTGGCTCAGCACGATGAGCTGATGAAGAAGACTGAGACCATGAGTGTCCTGATGGAGACCAACAAGATGCTGAGGGAGGAGAAGGAGAGGATGGAACAGGAGCTCCAGCAGACACAGGCTAAAGTAAAACAGCAGGATTACTTTCTCGGGGTCAAATCACCAAACTTTGGTTAAGATCACAGTTTTTGTTTATTTTATTATTAATATTTATTTTTTACCCCTTTTTCTCCCCAATTTCATGGTATCCAATTGGTAGTTAGTCTTGTCCCATCTGCGAAGTTTGAGAGCCGTGAGTCCTCCAAAACACAACCCAACCGAGCCGCACTGCTTCTTGACACAATGTCCGCTTAACCCGGAAGCCAGCCGCACCAATGTGTCGGAAGAAACACTGTACACCTGGCGACCGTGTCAGCGTGCACTGCGCCAGGCCCGCCAAGGGAGTCGCTAGTATGCGATGGGACAAGAACATCCCTGCCGGCCAAACCCTCCCCTAACCTGGATGACGCTGGGCCAATTGTGCGCCTCCCCATGGGTCTCCTGTTCGCGGCCGGCTGCGACAGAGCCTGGACTCGAACCAGGATCTCTAGTGCCTTAGACAACTGCGCCACTCGGGAGGCCTACAAAATTCAATCTTAAGGCATTTTTCTCTGGAAACCTTCTGTGAATTTGGTCCCAATTTCTTTGGGGGGGCCTGTTTTAGACAAGAGGCCCAACCTTTTTTTCTCTGTTTTGATTGACATTTTCTTCTATTTCTCTCTCTCTCTCTCCCTGTCTGTCAGGTGCGTAAGCTGGAGTCAGACATAATGCCCATGCAGGAGTCCAACGCTGAACTGAGTGAGAAGAGCGGCATGCTCCAAGCAGAGAAGAGGATTCTGGAAGAGGACATCAAACGCTGGAAGGCCAGAACACAGGTTAGTGTTCTTCCTGACACAATCTGTCCCAATCATATGATAACATACCCATGAGATATTACTCTATGACAGAAAATAAAACCATAAAAACATTCTCAAAGTACTGATACCACGCTTGAACGATACCTTGTTCCTTGTGACTCCATTTGTCAAAGGTCCGAAAGCCTGTCTATTGACTGGATTTGAAACGTAATGTGTTCTGTTCTGTTTGACTACTGTGTGTCCCCTTAGCACCTGGTGAGCCAGCAGAAGGACACAGACCCAGAGGAGTACAAGCGTCTCCACTCTGAGAAGGAGGCTCACATCAAACGCATCCAGCAGCTCACTGAGGAGACGGGCAGGCTCAAGGCTGAGGTGGCCAGGTGAGAGTTAGCCTAGTCCGTAATACAAACAGAATATATAGCCTGGAATCCAAAACGGAATATTGCTCAGTTTGACTATTCTGTTATTACATGGTACCAACAACAGCAAGGAGCTGAATTACTTGATACAATTAACAAAATAGGCTCCTCATTAAAAAGCATCATGCTACACAATGAATTGGCAAGCAACACAATACATAGAAATTTTGAAAATCTGATGATTGTACTATAAATAGTCTGTTTGGATGTTATGTATTAATGCATGATCTCCCTGTAGGAGTGGCGGCTCGGTGACAACCCTGCAGAACCAGGTGCAGATGCTGCGTGAGGGCCTGGGGAAGGTGAGCTCTGAGAGGGATGCTCTGAGGAGGAGCGTGGAGGCAAAGAACCTGGACATCCAGGAGAAGTTCCGCACCATCACTCAGGTCAAGAAGATCGGCCGCCGCTACAAGACCCAGTATGAGGAGCTCAAGGTGGAGCACGACAAGGTCAGTTGGTGAAACACCTGGTGCCTGTTCTGGTTTCGTACAGGGCAAAGTTATTTAAAAAAAATATTGATTTGTAACTAAGCTGTTTCCAGAAACCTAGCCTTGAATTCACTCACTCTTAATCTCAATCGTTTTCTCATGAAACTAATAATAACCCTACTCATGTTGTCACTGAATAACAAATGTGCTGGTTTAGGTGGGACCAAGTCGAACACTCAATGTCTAATCTGATATCCTTGATTAAATAGACACTGTGTGAATTCTGCCATATTGTGTTGGACTGATGGACTGAGTGTTGGACTGATCTCCTCTCCAGATGGTGTCGGAGGCAGCGTCCACCCCAGCCCAGGAGCAGGAGGCCCAGCAGGCCTCGGCCCAGGAGCTCCAGGGTCTGAGAGACTCCCTGGGACAGGCTGAGACCCGGACCAAAGACCTGGAGGGACAGCTGGACAACCTCAACAAGGTCCGGCAGTGTTTCCCCTGTACTTTTTTCCCAGGCAACATCCAGGATAACTTTCACCATAATTGTAAATGCCTATTGGGCAGAGGGTTAAGAGAAACACTGGGTCAGAATGGGTGGTAAAGGTGCCTGGTTGTTTAAAACTATATTCCCAACCCAAACCATGGTGTGTTCCTCTCAGGTGGTGGGTGAGCGTGACGCAGAGGTGCGCGGGGCCCAGGAGCAGGCCACCAGGCTGCAGACAGAGCTGACCAGGCTGAGACAGGAGCTGCAGGAGAAGGCCTCCCAGGAGGACACCCTCAGACAGCAGATGGCTGAGAAGGAAGAGAAGACCAGGAAGGCCTTAGTAGGGGCCAAGCAGAAGATCAACCAGCTCATGGGTAAGAGGCCATGCCAGACAACCTGACTGTGGAGCAAGCTTGTGTGTTGGTTTGAGTCTGGCTGAGGTTTGCATAGAGGTATATATTTACGGCCAAATATATTGGCACCCTTGCACTTCTTAAATAATTCCCTATTTCTTCTAAAATAAGTTGAAATTGAAAAACGCTTTTGGTCTCCACACCTTGTTACAGTTTTTATTTAGAAAATTAAGACAAATGACATGGACAAAGTTATTGGCACCTTGGAGCTAGTACTTGGTTGCACAGCCTTTGGGCAAGATTACTGCAGATAAATGCTTCAATGAGCTCGCTGCACCTTTTTACTAGCAATTTGGCCCACTGTTCAGCAGCAAACTGCTCTAATTCTTACATTTTTGAGAGGTGCCCACCAACTGCTGTTTTCAGATCTCGCCATAGGTTTTGGATGGGTTTTGGACTCTTCACTGGTCACTCCAGAACACTCCAATGTTTCTTCTTGAACCATTCCTGGGTGCTTTTTGATGTGTGTTTGGGGTCGTTGTCCTGCTGGAAGACCCACAACCTTCAATGGAGACTCAGTTTTTGGACACTGGGTTGAACATTGGACTCCAAAACACCTGATAATCTGCTGATTTCATGATGCATTGCGTACGTTCAAGGCCCCCAGTACCAGAGACAGCAAAGCAACCCCACAGCATTATCAAACCTCCATGTTTGATTGTAGGGAGGGTGATCTTTTCATTGAATGCTTCATTTGGTTGTCGGTAAACACAGCGGTGATCTGTAATTTTGATAGATTGGTCCACAGAACATTTCCCCCAGGATTCAGGCTTGTTTAGGTGGGTTTTTGAGAAGTTCAATCAGGCTTTCTTGTCTCCTTCAGCAGTGGGGCCTTCCTATGTTTACCAATTACCAAATTAAGCATTCCACTCCTGAGTGGCGCAGTGGTCTAAGGCACTGCATCGCAGTGCTAACTGTGCCACTAGAGATCCTGGGTCGAATCCAGGCTCTGTCGCAGCCGGCCGCGACCGGGAGACTCATGGGCGGCGCACAATTGGCCCAGCGTCGTCCAGGGTAGGGGAGGGAATGGCCGGCAGGGATGTAGCTCAGTTGATAGAGCATGGCGTTTGCAATGCCAGGGTTGTGGGGTCGATTCCCACGGGGGGGTCAGTATAAAAAAAAATGTGTATTCACTAAACTGTAAGTCGCTCTGGATAAGAGCGTCTGCTAAATGACTAAAATGTAAAATGTAAATGTAAAGAAATAACCCCCTCCCTACAACCAAACATTGGGAAGTTTCGATAATGCTGTGGGGTTGCCTTTGGTACTGGGGACCTTGAACGTGTGCAAGACATAATGAAATAAGCAGAATGTCAAGATGTTTTGGAGTGCAATGTTAAACCCAGTGTCCAAAAACGGGGTCTTTGTTGAAGTTTGTGGGTCAAATCACATTTTATTGGTCGCATACACATATTTAGCAGATGTTATTGTGGGTGTAGCGAAATGCTTGTTCCGCTCTCTAACAGTGCAGTAGTATCTAACAATACACACATCTAAAATAATGGAATTAAGAAATAAACGTCCTCTCGCTGTCAACTGCGTTTATTTTCAGCAAACTTAACATGGGTAAATATTAGTATGAACATAACAAGATTCAACAACTGAGACTCAAACTGAACAAGTTCCACAGACATGTGACTAACAGAAATTGAGTAATGTGCCCCTGAACAAAGGGGGGTCAAAATCAAAATTAACAGTCAGTATCTGGTGTGGTCACCAGCTGCATTAAGTACTGCAGTGAATCTCCTCCTCATGGACTGCACCAGATTTGCCAGTTCTTGCTGTGAGATGTTACCCCACACTTCCAACAAGGCACCTTCAAGTTCCCGGACATTTCTGGGGGGGAATGGCCCTAGCCCTCACCCTCCGATCTAACAGGTCCCAGACGTGCTCAATAGGATCCGGGCTCTTCGCTGGCCATGGCAGAACACTGACATTCCTGTCTTGCAGGAAATCACGCACAGAACGAGCAGTATGGCTGGTGGCATTGTCATACTGGAGGGTCATGTCAGGATGAGCCTGCAGGAAGGGTACCACATGAGGGAGGAGGATGTCTTCCCTGTAACGCACAGCGTTGAGATTGCCTGCAATGACAACAAGCTCAGTCTGATGATGCTGTGACACACCGCCCCAGACCATGACGGACCCTCCACCTCCAACTTGATCCCGCTCCAGAGTACAGGCCTCGGCCATCACCCCTGGTGAGACAAAACCTCGACTTTGTCAGTGAAGAGCACTTTTTGCCAGTCCTATCTGGTCCAGCGACAGTGGGTTTGTGCCCATAGACGACGTTGTTGCCGGTGATGTCTGGTGAGGATCTGCCTTACAACAGGCCTACAAGCCCTCAGTCCAGCCTCTCTCAGCCTATTGCGGACAGTCTGAGCACTGATGGAGTGATTGTGCGTTCCTGGTGTAACTCGGGCAGTTGTTGTTGCCATCCTGTACCTGTCCCGCAGGTGTGATGTTCGGATGTACCGATCCTGTGCAGGTGTTGTTACACGTGGTCTGCCACTGCGAGGACAATCAGCTGTCCGTCCTGTCTCCCTGTAGCGCTGTCTTAGTCGTCTCACAGTACGGACATTGCAATTTATTGCCCTGGCCACATCTGCAGTCCTCATGCCTCCTTGCAACATGCACATTCACGCAGATGAGCAGGGACCCTGGACATCTTTCTTTTGGTGTTTTTCAGAATCAGTAGAAAGGACTCTTTGGTGTCCTAAGCTTTCATAACTGTGACCTTAATTGCCTACCATCTGTAAGCTGTTAGTGTCTTAACGACCGTTCCACAGGTGCATGTTCATTTAATTGTTAATGGTTCATTGAACAAGCATGGGAAACCGTGTTTAAACCCTTTACAATTAAGATCTGTGAAGTTATTTGGATTTTTACAAATTATCTTTGAAAGACAGGGTCCTGAAAAAGAGACGTTTTCTTTTTTTGCTGAGTTTATATTAGTATTAGGACAAGCAATGTCGGAGTGGCATTGACTAGAATACAGTATATACATATGAAATTAGTAAAACGGTATGTAAACATTATTAAAGTGACCAGTGTTCCATGTCTATGTACATGGGGCAGCAGCCTCTTAAGGTGCAGGGTTGAGTAACTGGGTGGTAGCCGGCTAGTCACAGTGACTAAGGGCAGGGTACTAGGTGGAGGCCGGCTAGTTAAGTCTGATGGCCTTGAGATAGAAACTGTTTTTCAGTCTCGGTCCCAACTTTGATGCACCTGTACTGACCTCGCCTTCTGGATGATAGCGGGGTGAACAGGCTGTGGCTCGGGTGGTTGATGTCCTTGAGGATCTTTTAGCCTTCCTGTGACATCGGGTTCTGTAGGTGTCCTGGAGGGCCGGTACAGTTGCCTCTGGAGAGCCCTGCGGTTGCGGGCAGTACAGTTGCCGTACCAGGCGGTGATACAGCCCGACAGGATGCTCTCAATGGTGCATCTGTAAAAGTTTGTGGGGGTCTTAGGGGCCAAGCTGAAATTCTTCAGCCTCCTGAGGTTGAAGAGGCGCAGTTGCGCCTTCTTCACCACACTGTCTGTGTGGGTGGACCATTTCAGATTGTCAGTGATGTGTACGCTGAGGAACTTGACGTATTTCACCTTCTCCAGTGTGCTCCCTCTGCTGTCTGAAGTCCACGATCAGCGCCTTCGTTTTTTTGAGGCAGAGGTTATTTTTTCCTGGCACCACTCCGCCAGGGCCCTCACCTCCTCCCTGTAGGCTGTCTCGTCATTGTTGGTAATCAGGCCTACTACTGTTGTTGTCTGCAAACTTGATGATTTGAGTTGGAAGCGAGCGTGGCCAAGCAGTTATGGGTGAACAGGAAGGGGCTGAGCATGCATATTCAACCATATTCCCACTCACCTTGCCGTGGTTAAATGCGGTGGTTCGCGCTTTCAGTTTTGCATGAAAGCTGCCATCTATGCACAGTTTTTGGTTTGGGTAGGTTTTAATAGTCACAGTGGGAACAACATCCCCTATACACTTTCTGATGAACTCAGTCACTGTGTCAGTGTATATGTCAATGTTATTCTCAGAGGCAACCCGCAACATATCCCAGTCCGCGTGATCAAAACAATCTTGAAGCATGGATTCCGATTGGTCAGACCAGCATTGAATAGACCTTAGCACGGGTTCTTCCTGTTTTGAGTTTCTGCCTATAGGAAGGGAGGAGCAGAATGGAGTCGTGATCTGATTTGCCCAAGGGAGGGCGGGGGAGGCCCTTGTAGTCATCCCGGAAGGGAGACTGACAATGGTCGAGAGTTTTTGAAGTGCGAGTACTAGAGGACTGATAGAACTTCAGTAGCTTTTTCCTCATTTGCTTTGTTAAAGTCCCCAGCTACAAGAAATACGCCCTCAGGATATGTGGTTTCCAGTTTTCACAAAGTCCAGTGTAGTTCCTTGAGGGCCATCGTGGTATCGGCTTGAGGGGGAATATTCACGGCTGTGACTATAACCGAAGAGAATTCTCTTGAGGTAATACGGTCGGCATTTGATTGTGATGGTCATCCAGCAGAGCAACAACCCCAACCACATATCCAAAAGCACCCAGGAATGGTTCAACAAGAAACACTGAACTGTTCTGGAGTGGTCAGGGAAGAGTCCAGATCTTAGGCACCCCTCAAACATTCAAGAATTAGAGTAGTTTGCTGCTGAAGAGTGGGCCAAATTGTCGGTATAATAAATTTTTTACATTTTAGTCATTTAGCAGAAGCTCTTATCCAGAGCGACTTACAGTTAGTGAGCGCATTCATTTTCATACTGCCCCCCCGTGGGAAACGAACCCACAACCCTGGCGTTGCAAGCGCCATGCTCTACCAACTGAGCTACACTGGGCCATCAAGTTTATTGGTGCAGCAAGTTTATTGCTGGCTACAAGAAGCATTTGTAAACCGTTATCTTGGCCAAAGGCCGTGCAAGCAAGTACTAACTCCATGGTGGCAATAATTTTGTCCGTGCCATTTGTCTTTATTTAAAAAATAAATAATTTAAACTTAAGTTTGACAAAAATGTATTTGGTTCTGCAATGTTAAAAATCCAATAAGGTGTGGAGACCAATTTTATTTTCAATTTCACCATATGAGAAGAAATAGGGAATTATTTTAAAGGTGCAATATGCAGAAATCGCCGTTTTCAAATAAAATGTTATTTGTTACATGCACTGAATACAAAAGGTGTAGAACTTATGAGCCCTTAACCAACAATGCAGAGTTTTTAAAAAAGTAAAAAAATGTGCTAACTAAAGAAAAATAGTAACACAATAAAAATAACAATAATGAGGATATATACAAGGGATACCGGTATCGAATAGTTTGCCTCATTTCAGTTTGACAAAACAAGAATCATTATCGCGTCTAAACTGCTGTGAAATATCACTCAAGAACATATATATATATATATATATATTTTAAGCTATTTGAATCTGGTGTACAAAACTGAAAGGGAAAAAAAGGAAAAACAAAACTTAAGCATAGAAATAGTGCCCACTCACATTTCTGTGAATTTGGTCGGTTCACCCAAAAAGTTACATATTGCAGCTTTAAGAAAAGTGCAAGGGTGCCAATATATTTGTCCGCAACTGTATGTGAATGCTGATCTCTGATATTTTTTGTCTTGTCATCCAAACGTTTGCTGGGTGGTAAAAAAGAAAAGAAAAGGGGGGACCTTTTTGACCCTATCCCATCCTCCTCCCCAGGCTCCAAGGACCAGCTGCAGAAGGAAAATGAGGAGCTGAAGCAGCAGCGGGAGGAGCTGGAGGTCAGGGTCAGTGCTCTGAAGTCCCAGTACGAGGGCCGTCTGAGCCGCCAGGAGAGGGAGCTGCGGGACCTGAGGGAACAGCAGGAGAGACACGGAGAGCAGAGGGATGAGCCTCCTGAACAGGGTCCCAGCAAGGTGAGAGATGGAGGGGTTAATGGAGGCATAGATTTCAATAGAGCACTTGTGCTTTCTACCCGACTAGCCTGGATTGCTATTAATTTTTCCTCCTCTCCTACCTATAGGCCCAGGAACAGCAGAGGACCACAGAGCAGCGAGGACCACTGAAGACCACCCCAGCTGCAGACAGGGGCAGGTGAAGTATTCACACACACTCTCTCTCCCGCACACACACTCACTACACTTGGATAACTTGTGCAATAACGTTTTCACCTGTTGTATTTCCCCTTCCCCATAGCGCCAGTACCTCTGAGCCCCCTACTGCCAACATCAAGCCCACCCCTCTAGGGGCCCAAGGCCCCAGCAAGCCCCCTGCCAACCCCGGGAACAAGTCCACCCCCCGGGCCAGCATTCGGCCCATGATCACCCCCGCCACCGTGCCCACCCCCACCCCTACTGCCACCGTCATGCCCACCACACAGGTGGAGAACCAGGAAGGTGAGGAGTTCTGTGGAACCAATATCACTGTTGGCATGATGTGAATGTTATAGCATAAATATTTGAGTATTGGTCATTTTTAAAGCACAGGATGGCTGTCTGTGAAGTGTTTTGGTAGTTGAAGTGCACTTTATTACTTGAATCGGATGAGATCCATGAGGGGGAGAATGAGCACATTTCAGACGGATGGAGAATCAGACCGCAGCCATGGTATTTCCCTCTCTGAACTGTATTGACCCTGTCACCTCTGACCCCTACAGCCATGCAGTCATCCGAGGGCCCGCTGGAGCATGTGACAGTGTACGGCAGTGCCAGTGGTTCAGTACGGTCAACCAGCCCCAATGTTCAGACCACCAACCCAATGCTGGTGGTCCAGCAGACCCAGACCCAGACTACAGCCTTCGTCCAACCAACACAGCAACAGAGCCTGCCCCACACTGAACCAGCCAATCAGGAGCAGCCCCCTGCCCCAGTCGTCATGGAAGCGGCACCCAGTTCGCAAATAGAGAGGCCGTCGACGTCCACAGCTGTGTTTGGGACAGGTGAGAGATGGGATTAAATCTAACCAAGAGTTTCTATAGATTTGGGGTGTAGTAGCGTTGTCTAACTAAGCTTAAGGGTTGGCAATGAGTGAAGTTCTCGCTGCATTACCACTGGTCCTCTAATATTGAATTAACTGCATATCTACCAAGTTAGAAATGTGTATTTTCCAATTCTACAGTTTCAGCCACCCCAGGTACATCCTCCATGTCCAAGAGATCTCGTGAGGAGGAGCAGGACAGCTCTATGGTGACCGACACAGACACCACCCAGGAGGACCCCTCTGAACCCCCCATGCCCAAGAAGCTACGCATCATTCAGAGAGTCGACCCAGAGGAGCCAGAGGCCCAGGAGGAGGTGCTGGCTGAGGGCAGTGCAGAGGAACTGGTGCCTGGAGAGAGCCAGGAAGCCCCAGACACCAGCCAGGTATGTGTGTGATACCCACCCTATCTCGAGAGGCTGCTGATATAGTCTTTCAGTCTGGTTTGTGTGTCTGTAATCATGTGTTTGTATCAGCAGGTGGTGGAGGAGTACCCAGTATTAGAGGAGGCTGAAGAGGAGGGGACAGCGTCTCAGTCAGTCCCTGTAGAGCTGCTCCTGTCCCAGCAAATAGCTATCACGTTCTCATACGACGCCAACGAAGAACCCCCCCAGCACGATGTCATCGTCATAGTGACTGACTCGGAGAGCGAGGACGAGCAGCAGCAGCAGGAGGAGGTGGAGGATGATGAGGAAGAGGAACCGGTATGGACTAAGGGAATCGACTGTTGTCAATGGAAATATTTTAGTTGCTAGACACTTTAATTGAGCCTTCTCTAAGCCCCCCCCCCCCCCCCCCCGGTTACTGTTACAACATTTTCCCGGGAAGCCCAATTCTCCCTTCTAACCGCTGGCGAAGTCCCCTCACAATGATCTCATACTGTGTTTTTAGTACACAATTAAATTAAACGGACTACCCCTTGCTAATCAGGAGACTCTCAGGTAGGTCGTGGTGGACTGTCATTACAATTGCTTCACAGGAACCTGGTAAAATGAAGGTTGTAGTGTGGCTAGCCACTGGATGGCTCTGAATGCACTGTCAGCATGCAGTCAGTTACTAACACCTTTTGGCGCTAACTAGCACTCAAATCGTATCCGGATGTCGACAGCAGATGAGTTCTATTCATAACATGGATAACTTAGCTAGCTAACATACATTTAGAAAAAAACCTAGTTATATTAACTGGCTAGTTAGTTAGCTAGCCTTAGCAATGTTGGGTGGTCAATAGTGAGAGCTATTTAACCAGCTGAGCTAGCAAACAATGTATCAAAAGTATAATTTCGTATTCTAAAAATACTCCAACAGGCTCTGCTTTTCAGGAATCACAGTAGCAAGTACCCCTGGTGCACAGTTTTTGGAAGAAAACTCAGTTTTTGTAATGCCCTCAATGGCTTTCATGCATTTCAAATGTGAGCTTGCCTGAGGTGTTTGCTATCCATTGAAGTGCTGTGATTGGTTGCCAAACATTCTGGGGCGGGGTTTAGCAAATGGTCAATGGAACTCCCTCAAGTCTTAGAAAAAATCTTGCCTAAAATGATTTGAGAGTATATGGCACTTAGAAATATGTGGAACTCTATTAGAAGGGATGAAAATGTTGATATGCAGCCCATACTCATTACATTTTACATTTTAGTCATTTAGCAGACACTCTTATCCAGAGCGACTTACAGGAGCAATTAGGGTTAAGTGCCTTGCTCAAGGGAACATCGACAGATTTTTCACCTAGTCGGCTTGGGGATTAGAACCAGCGACCTTTCGGTTACTGGCACAACGCTCTTAACCACTAAGCTACCTGCCGCCCACTCATAATGTTAAATTCAACAATGACTGTGTTGATTGAGACCTTCTACATTTTCCTCTCTGTAGGACTATGATGACGAGGAGGATGAGGACGAGGAGGAAGAGGAGGAGGAGGAGGATGAAGATGATGGAGGGATGGGAGATGAAGGAGAGGAGAGCAATGAAGGGAGCGGAGACGGCAATGAGGCATACGAAGGCGACGACACAGAGGTAAGCTCCCCACACACACCGTTACAAACTTAACCATGTCATTTCCAGCATGTGTTTTGTAATCCCGCTCTCTCTCACTTCCTGTCTTGCACCCACTCCCTAATTCTTTCCAACTCACGTCTCTCGGATGTTACAGCCAGACATGCACGTTTTTCTGTGACGCATTGGTGTCTCAGCAGTGCTCTTGCTTCACTCTGCTACCTCATGTCTGTGTTGTGATCTAGAGTGACAGTGTGTGTGGGAGGGAAGGAGGTGTTGGGGGAACTGAAGGTCCTGGAGATTTGGCAGGGGAGAAGGGTGGGTGGGGGCTTTGTGGTCAGGGTGGGGGTGCAGAAGAAAGCGGGCCACACCCTCCCCGTCTAGCTAGCTGTAAAGTTACTAGACCTCTAAGGGAACGCCTGTACAAGGGAAATGAATCATGATCAGCATGTGCTGCTTACCACAAGAACATAGTGCGTGGGAACCATCCTGTAACGTCTCCTTCTTTTCTGTCTCTCCCACTGTGTGTGTGTGTGCCTCCCTCCCTCCCAGGGTGCTGATGGGACGGACCCAGGCACGGAGACGGAGGAGAGTCTAGGAGCATCTGACTCCACCCAGCGCCCGGCCGACTCCCAGACACACAGCTGTAAGACGATGGAAACTGTCACACACTGTTGTCTCTACAGACCTCTGACACTTTTGAGTAACTGAGAGATGTAATATGTTGGTGTCTGTCAGGATTGAGAGATACATTTTAGTCACTGTGTTGGTAGACTAACCAAGACAATAGATTCAACATATCGGAAACTGATACGGACATGAGCCTATTTCATAATATTATTGGGGTGTCTGTTAGTTCAACAGACAATGATGTAACAAGGAAAGGTGATGCAAACTCCGTCTGTCTGATGGAGAGATTACGTTTGTGTTGTGATTTTAACTGTGTTAAACTAAACCACATTGTCGTCTCCTGTTCTGTCAGTCGAGGGCAGCAGCAGTATGGAAGCCTTCTCAAGTGAACCAACCACCTCTGCTCCCAGAATGCCCCAGTCTCCACGGAGAACACCCCACCCACTGCCCCCCCACCTCAACATCACCCAGGAACGGGGACCCCCCGCTCAGGTACAGGTTTGTGCTTATGAGTCAATATAGCCAGTGTGTCTGTGCGTAAGACAATTGTATTGCAGTGTTTGTGGTGTGGTTACATCTGTGTAGTACCGAGTTGTGTGTGTCTTACAGCGCCCCATGCGTCACCAGTCTGTAGGCAGAGTCCCTCAGCTCACCCCTGGGATGGCCAGCAGCGGAGTAAGTCACCCCCTTACATCTTAAAGGGATATAGTGCAAGAATTTGGCAATCAGTCCCTATTCTACTTACCCAGAGTCAGATGAACTCATGTATACCATTTCTATGTCTCTGCATGCAGTTTAAAGGAAGTTGAAGGTCGTTTTCACAAGCCATTGTTAACTGGCGTTAGCGCAATGCCTGGAAGTATATGGGAACAGGTAGCATGCTAGCTGTTCTCATTGACTTCCAGGCATTGTGCTAACGCTAGTTAGCAATGGCTTGTGAAAACGACCTTCAACTTCCTTTAAACTGCATGCAGAGACATAGAAATGGTATACATGAGTTTATCTGGTTAAGTAGAAAAAGGGCTTAGTTGCGAAAACCTCGCACTATCCCTTTAAACTGCAACTCATGTGTTGTGTGTTGTGTTGTCAGTGTTTGTATAATATAGATCCCGGATTATATTTCAGTTCACCAATTATTATCAGCTGATATTGGCCTTTTTAGCGCTGTATCGGACGATAATTCTACCGATAACCGATATTTAATAAATAGGATGAAAAAAGGAATCTCATGCTTATCTGAATTGCGGCCATTCTCATGTGTCATTGTCACAATGTAAAAAATCAACATTTGAAGCATATTTCTTGGACTATTCCTCTTTTGGATGGCAATATATGAGAATTCAATGTGGAAAAATGACACTTTTTCATTTTCCCGCTGTAAAACAGTATATTGGCAGATGTATTGGTAAGTTTGGTCCCCCCAAAAAACGGAGTCGGTATCGGACCCAAAAATAGATTTCGGTCAGGCTCTAGTATAATATTATTTCCTCCCTCTGCCTTCCTACAGCAGCATTTCTTTGACGATGATGACAGGATGGTTCCCAGTACTCCTACTCTGGTGGCGCCACACCGCTCTGACAGCTTTGCAGAAGCTATCCAGTGAGTAACACACACTAAAATCAGCAGCTAAACACCGCTAGTAAAGACTCCATAGTACTTCTAACCTCTTCTCGCTCTCTGTGGTCCAGTTCTCCCCAGGTGGCTGGTGTACCCCGGTTCAGGTTCGGCACCCCAGAGGACCTGATGCCCCAGACCACCACCTCCCACTCTGACCTGGGACAGCTGGCCTCACAAGGAGGTACTGGACTGTACACAGGCACACCTCATCCCTTTTCTATTTCTCCATACCCTACCATTGAGACACCCCCACTCTCTCTGTCCTCATACATACCACTGAGATCAACATATTAGTTATATGCTCCTCACTGTCTGTCTTTCTCAGATAGCTATTAGAGACATTTGATGAGATCTTACTTTTGCCATGTCCATATCTCCATCTTTCTTTGGTGAAGTAAGAAGTGTGTGTGTTGTAGGTCTTGGGATGTATGATAGTCCTCTGTTCCTGCCTGGTCATGAGGATGAGTCTGGGGGCCTCAGCGTTCCCACCACACCCCTGCAGGTGGCTGCCCCAGGTACGGTACACACACACACACTAGGGTGACCACATGTCCATGGATTGTGAAGGACAGTCTTGCATTTTGTCCCGCAACCCAACAATCATGTCCTGCATTTTTCTTTTTTTTCACAAAACATAATTAACGAAAAGCAAAACATACAATAATCCCCACCCTCACCCCTGATTGGAGGACCTCAGACATTTACACTGTATATTTGTCTATATACTTATTCCAACACTCATTAATTCCACCCTTCAGACAGCCATAGATCAACCCATTTTCCCCAATAAATCATAATTCTACCATTTCCTCTCACAATACATCCCTCCATTCTCCCATGGTGTCTCACTAGGGACTTGAATCTCCCCATCTGGAACATTTCTGCTGAAATTGCCCCCAAAATAAACATTTTACCCAAGATCACAATTCTATTTCCTATTGACTGACTGTGGTCCTTCAAATCTCCCAGCAATAAAGTTTGCAGGTCCAACCTGATAATATGTCATAGTAACCATTCCTGGACCTGACTCCAAAAACAAGCTACCGATGGACAGTACCAAAAGAGATGCTCTATTGATTCTGTTTCCGCATGGCAGTCTGCACTGGTCTGACTGTTGAATACCCCATATACTGAGCATTCTTTTTGTAGCGATAATTTTATATAATAGTTTAAATTGAAAATAACTAATTGATGAAGAAATTGTTTTGTTTATCGGTTGATAAACCCGATGCCATTGGGACATCGAAAATCTGTTCCCAACTATCTTTACTTTTATGTGGCATAGTTGTCAACCCTCTTGACTGTAAGTGAAACTGATACATTTTACGATTTATATTAGTAGTTTTAAGCCATTTAGGATTTTCTTATTGGTGGCAGACATTCATTCCTTTCTCTTAAGTAATTGCCTTTTCCATTTTTGTGGCAGAGCTGCGATGTTGGTTATTATTTTGTGTTGAGCATACAGTACATCTCCATACACCTGGATTAATTGGTTGTATGACAAAATTCTACCGTTATTGTTTACAATGTCCTGCATTTTATCAACAAATTCAATCCACTAATTTAGAAAAAAATAGGTTGATTTGTCCTGTATTTCAGTCAGACATTCCAACCTGTCTCCTCTTGTAGTCGCGTTGCGCTTATGAAAATATATATCATAAGGATGTGGTACTGGTGATGTTGAACACTTCTCTAATCTTTGAGATCTGATATTCTATGCAGCGCAAGTCGAAGTAGGCCAATGTTATATTGTAAACCAATCCCATTTGTCTAATCCTTTCGGGCTAAATTCCAGCTGAACTTGGAGAGGACAGTTAACCTCCTAGAGTCGATTGTGCCGATCGAAGCTGCATAACAAAAAATATCCCCATCAAAATCTGTCAGTTTAAGCTAGAGATCTGTTTTTTGCATTGGATGCGTCTCAATCCACCGCATCCGCCAGTGTCGCACTTCTGCGGTGAAAGGTGGCTAGAGCGATGTTTGTCAGACCATGAGACATCCCGAAAATCGGTATTTTCACGTAAACGTCTGTAGCGTCCGAACCATTTGGGATACAAACTAATGGGACCCCAATCTACGACCCCCACAAGTGTCACAGGACTCGTCTGAAGGTAACTGGTATCGGTAAAAAAAAAACTGAATGGAAGTAGTTTTGTGCCTACCCCAAAAAAGGGGTTACATACAATACCAGTCAAAAGTTTTAGAACACCTACTCATTCAAGGGTTTTTCTTTATATTTTCTAGTTTCTACATTGTATAATAATATTTTCTATGGGGTTGAGATCTGGAGACTGGCTAGGCCACTCCAGGACCTTGAAATGCTTCTTACGAAGCCACTCCTTCGTGTGTTTGGGATCATTGTCATGCTGAAAGACCCAGCCACGTTTCATCTTCAAAGCTCTTGCTGATGGAAGGAGGTTTTCACTCAAAATCTCACGATACATGGCCCCATTCATTCTTTCCTTTACACGGATCAGTCGTCCTGGTCCCTTTGCAGAAAAACAGCCCCAAAGCATGATGTTTCCACCCCCATGCTTCACAGTAGGTATGGTGTTCTTTGGATGCAACTCAGCATTCTTTGTCCTCCAAACACGACGAGTTGAGTTTTTACCAAAAAGTTATATTTTGGTTTCATCTGACCATATGACATTCTCCCAATCCTCTTCTGGATCATCCAAATGCACTCTAGCAAACTTCAGACGGGCCTGGACATGTACTGGCTTAAGCAGGGGGACACGTCTGGCACTGCAGGATTTGAGTCCCTGGCGGCGTAGTGTGTTACTGATGGTAGGCTTTGTTACTTTGGTCCCAGCTCTCTGCAGGTCATTCACTAGGTCCCCCCGTGTGGTTCTGGGATTTTTGCTCACCGTTCTTGTGATCATTTTGACCCCACGGGGTGAGATCTTGCGTGGAGCCCCAGATCGAGGGAGATTATCAGTGGTCTTGTATGTCTTCCATTTCCTAATAATTGCTCCCACAGTTGATTTCTTCAAACCAAGCTGCTTACCTATTGCAGATTCAGTCTTCCCAGGGTGTGCAGGTCTACAATTTTGTTTCTGGTGTCCTTTGACAGCTCTTTGGTCTTGGCCATAGTGGAGTTTGGAGTGTGACTGTTTGAGGTTGTGGACAGGTGTCTTTTATACTGATAACAAGTTCAAACAGGTGCCATTAATACAGGTAATGAGTGGAGGACAGAGGAGCCTCCTAAAGAAGAAGTTACAGGTCTGTGAGAGCCAGAAATCTTGCTTGTTTGTAGGTGACCAAATACTTATTTTCCACCATAATTTGCAAATAAATTCATAAAAAATCCTACAATGTGATTTTCTGGATTTTCTTTCCTCAATTTGTCTGTCATAGTTGACGTGTACCTATGATGAAAATTACAGGCCTCTCTCGTCTTTTTAAGTGGGAGAACTTGCACAATTGGTGGCTGACTAAATACTTTTTTCCCCCACTGTACATATGAATACAGTTGAAGTCGGAAGTTTACATACACTTAGGTTGGAGTCCATTAAAACCCGTTTTTCAACCACTCCACAAATGTCTTGTTAACAAACTATAGTTTTGGCAAGTCGGTTAGGACATCTACTTTGTGCATGACACAAGTAATTTTTCCAACAATTGTATACAGACAGATTATATCACAATTCCAGTGGGTCAGAAGTTTACATACATTAAGATACTTTTGTACCTGTTTCCTCCAGCATCTTCATAAGGTCCTTTGCTGTTGTTCTGGGATTGATTTGCACTTTTCGCACCAAAGTACGTTCATCTCTAGGAGACAGAACGCGCCTCCTTCCTGAGCGGTATGACCGCTGCGTGGTCCCATGGTGTTTATACTTGCGTACTATTGTTTGTACAGATGAACGTGGTACCTTCAGGCGTTTGGAAATTGCTCCCAAGGATGAACCAGACTTGTAGAGGTCTACAATTAGAGGTCTTATTTCTTTTGATTTTCCCATGTCGTCAAGCAAAGAGGTACGGAGTTTGAAGGTAGGCCTTGAAATACATCCACAGGTACACCTCCAATTGACTCAAATGACGTCAATTAGCCTATCAGAAGCTTCTAAAGCCATGACATCAACTTAGTGTATGTAAACTTCTGACCAACTGGAGTTGTGATACATTGAATTATAAGTGAAATAATCAGTCTGTAAACAATTGTTGGAAAAATTAGATTAGTAGATGTCCTAGCCGACTTGCCAAATCTATAGTTTGTTAACAAGAAATTTGTGGAGTAGTTAAAAAACAAGTTTTAATGACTCCAACCTAAGTGTATGTAAACATCCGACTTCAACTGTGTGTGTGTGTGTATATATATATATATATATTTTATAATTTTTTCCCCCCCTGGATTTAGGACAGACCCTTAAATCTTGTTTCTTATGATACATTTTTTGACTGTCCTTTTTGCCCTTTATGAATGTGTTATTCAATGCGTTTTTCTTTACCTAAAGGGGTCCTAAAATTCTAAATCAAATAGCTAAATGATTCATAGTATGAACATGTCCTGCAAAATCATCCCTTTGTCCTGCATTTGGGTATTTTAAATATGCTCAACCTAACACACACACACACATTATTTCTCTCTACTCCCTCACTCACTCGAGAAAATGTGAGAATTGTGAAATGTGTACCAGTTTAACAGTTTGATTATTGACAGAGCCGGCAGGTAGCGTTGGGCCGAAAGGTTGCTGGTTCGAATCCCCGAGCCGACTAGCTGAAAAATCAGTCGACGTGCCTTTGAGCAAGGCACTTAACCTTAGTTCCTCTGGATAAGAGCGTCTTCTAATTCACTCTCCCCCTCCCTCCAGTGTCCATATTCGCAGAGGTCCCGCCCTCTGATGGCACGGAACACACCTCTCAGTCTGTTCCCATAGTAATCACCTCAACCCCAGGCTTGGCGGTGGCCGGAGGACCCAGTCCTGGGGACGAGAGGGATGATGTCTTCATGGAGCCTGAGGGAGACCGGTGAGACCACCTTGCTTACTCTATGAAATTGATCAAAAGTAAAGCTTCAAATCGTATAGCTAACTGATATAGCTAACTGTACTTGAACCACAGCATTAATAAATAGTGTGATCCTCCATAGTGAATGACCTGTGTGTGTTGTGTACGTGTCCAGTGTGGAGGTATCTCTGGAAACTGTGATGTCTCGGGCAGGGGAGATGGAGGAACCTGCCCAGCTCTCAGTCGATTCCAGCCTGCCTTCTACCAGCCAGGAACTCTCCTCCAGCACCGCAGGTTCTGACCCCAACGCTCTACAGTACTCTAACCTCTACCCTATGGACCCCTTATCCACTAGCTAACCCTCAATACCTTAGCGTGCCCTACCCAAGCCAAGAAGAGACCTACTCCTCTGCACACTTACCAATACCCCTCCATTCATACTGGTTGTTGGAATTGTAGTTTGTTAACATTCTAGTAGTGAGATTCCTCTCAAATTTGAGTATTAATACTGGTTTTATAGGAGCTTGGCTCTGACCGCCTTGGAATGTTTAATTACAGGGTCCATTGTCTCTGACTAGTAGGCCAGATTGCTTTCTCAGTTTTGGCTGTAGTAGCACCCAGTGTTAGAATGAGCCGTGTGTAACTGTGCCCTTTGTCTCTCTGCCTCTACCTTAGACACTAGTAGCACTCAGCCCAAACCCTCTAGACCAGGACACAGCCGACAGCTCCAACGCTGGACAGAGAACCGCATGAGGAGAGGTGAGATAAAACATACAGACATGTATACTGTACACAACTATTAATACAACATATAAAACCAAGTCCAGATCCATTGTTGATGTTAAATCGATTTTAATAGTCAGAAAATACAGAAGCTATACATTTAATCTAAAATGATTAGTTACATTAGCATCGTCTTTGCATTATACATTATACAGGCGCTGTACAGAATCAGAATGTGATTTGTTTTTACATTGGTAAAGCAGACCTTTGTCTCATATCAGTATGTGTCGTTTGATGGGAACCAGGGACGTTGCCATCACGGGGTGTAACTGGGACTGGGAGGAGATTCGCCCGATAAACAACCGATCAGAGCTCCTGCCCCAACATCATTCCCGTCTCCACAAGACATCATTCCCGCTACAAGACTGATCACCATGGTTCCAAAGAGAAGACCCGCAGATACCATAAATCTAAATGACGTATCGTGCTTTAGAATCAGCTGTAGATATGATCACTGATAATTTCATTGTTATGACGAATAATATTTTTTTGTTTTTAAAAGGTTTAAGCGGAGTCCTTGCTAAAACGTTGTGGTGTTGGTTTTATGAATAATTATGCTAATAAAGTTTGAGATCTGTGAGGAAAACAGTGTGTCAGTGAATCTGAATCTGTTTTTGAATGTCCGAGCTGTTTCTCCTCAAACTTCCTTTGGACAGTTGAAAAAGTCTTTGGCCGAGTTCTTCTGGGGAATGGAGCTCACCGGGGGAGTAGCTATGAAAGGTCGCTCATCTCCCATATTGACGTTGTAGTATTTGGCTGAAAGACACAAGGGAAGAGGGTGGGTTAATGTGAGGAAAATATGGGCGCACTTGATGTCTCTGGACTGGTAATCATTTGCAGAGTTTCCTTGTTTTGACTTGAACCGTGTAAAATATGATATAACTGGCAAAGGAAAATGTTAGTCACTTCATACATGTCCAAGCATTTCTTTTTTTTTGGTGTATCAATAAGATACTGACAGAAAACCACCAACAATGAACCATCTTTTATCAGAAAAACATGACCTGTGGCAGGTCTCTTAATTGGCCACCGCAGACCCTGAGCCTCAATTTAGTGTTTCTTAATGACATAATGACTAGACAGACAAACACCTCCCTCCTTATGGAGTAAGGAAGGGCTGCTGTTGACACAACCTCCTAGGACAGTACCAAACCACATGCCATGCCAGCAGACCCATCAACTACTCCACCCTCCCCTCTCTGTGACCCACCCCGCTCAGACATGTGTCCGACATGACGTTGTGTAAGGTCTAGGACTGGATTTTTACGGCAGACCGATAGGGGCATGGTTTTCCACCAAACCAGTCTTTAAAAAAACAAACAAGCTGAAGTAGCATTTAATTAAAATCATCAAAGGCAGACTACAGGCTCTGATTTGGTTAATAAAAATATTGTTTCTTGGCTAAGTACTTACAGCGTGAGAAGAGGTAGTAGTTGTATCCCTCTGGTTTCCTGCGGGTGGGGATGGACACGGCGGAGGTCACGGTGGAGGGGAAGCCTCTCCAGGTCAGACGGATGTTGATCTCCTGTCCCAGCAGAGGCACTGAGAGGATAGACAGTTCAGTTTAGAGACTGACAAATGTCATTATTGATGATGGTGTGATATTTGAAATGGAAGGTTTATGGTCTAGGAGTCTGATTGTTGGAGTACAATTTCTAGTTTGAGGAAATGTTACATTTAAGTCATTTAGCAGACGCTCTTATCCAGAGCGACTTACAAATTGGTGCATTCAACTTAGAAATTATGTAGTTCTTAGATTTGTGTGACATTGCAATCTGTCAGTTTACTTTTAGTAACTCATTGAAAACATTGTGTTGCGACGTTCCACTACAATCGGATTCTGCACCCACACAATCTGACTTGTGATTGTTTTCTCTGAATAACCTGTTTACATACGGTGAACCTTGTTCCCTCTCCTCTTTCTCTTTCCCTCCTTCCTTGCCGCATCTCCCTCTGAGTCTTTATAGAGAACAAAATGCATCTCAACTCAAATAAAACCTGTCTGTGACCGGTGTCCCAGGTTCTCACCACTGCCTCAGTCTGATAAAATGTTCAGCGAAAGGACTGAAAGGTCAAAACGTGGGCGGCTCATTACCTGCTTGCCTGGCAACACGGTTGCGTACGGTATAAACAGAGTAGTGGACCTTCCTGCCGCATGTAGGGCTGGTTCCAGACTGGTAGGAATACTTCTGCACCAAGCCTCCTGGAACAGACAATCATACAGATATCAGACATGATAACTCAGGATACTACAGATGACATGTGCATGCTTGTTTATGTTATGTTATGATGTGCATGCTTGTTTGATGCCATTTCATTCGCTCCGTTCCAGCCATTATTATGAGCCATCCTCCCCTCAGCAGCCTCCACTGGGTAAGTAGTGTACAGCGGTCAGTCACCTCTCTTGAAGAAGTAGACAGACTCTCTCCTCTTGCGGTACTCAGGCACAGACAGGGCAGCCGTGATCTGTCCTTGCAGCCCATTGAAGCCCACCCTGATCAGCTTGGGGTAGCCGGGCTCCATCATGCCATTCTCAAACCTCCAGTACTTAGAACCCTATGGAGGGGAGAAGACGCATAGATAAACAATCTTATTCTCTCGATCAACATACTTAGTGTAGTATAAAAGTAGGTCTTATAACACACTATGCTTAGGATAGTCACATTGTAGGCCTATTGAACAGATAGCACTGACTTGAAGTGAAGGGTATGACAAAATGGAAATGCTGCCATTTGCCTTGGGTATCTTATGTTTAATGTTACATAGGAGGTGTACCTTGAAGAAGTATGTCTTGCCCTGGCAGTTGCAGCGGGTGAAGACTGTGTCGATGGGAGAAGGGACACCCCACACGTCTGTGATCCCACGGGCAGGTCCAGGCACCCTGTTGCTGTCCAACACCCAGAAATAGTGTCCTAAAGAGGGAGGACAGTGGAAGCAACACTGGTATTATGGTACGTCCATCTGCATCTTGTCCTCAATTACTTTTCATCCTCTATGTATCCTCTAGTCTATAATACAGGGGTTGTCTTACTGTAGCTAACTCTCGTGTAAATGAACAGGAAACGTTTAGAAAATGTTTGGGATTATCTTGAGTTTGAAAAACAATCAGTGTCATATCTATAAAATATGAATAAGAGCTGAAGGATAGTCCAGTCACAAGATCACAAAGGCAGACAGACTGGGTGCAGTCTGGGGGCAAACCCAACATCTGGTGGGTCTGGTACATAGACGTATATAATCACAGTATCTAGACCAAGTCGTTATGATCTGGCACTGACCTCTGAAAACCACCACGGTCCCATTCCTCAGCGTAGTGACTGCGCTGACGGGACGACCGCTGCAGATGTTGGTGTCGTGTTCATCTGGAGAAAAAGGACACGTTTAAAAGGAGCCACATGAGGACTAATAAGAAAAACAACATGGTGAATGTATTAAGCGAACCAGGACCATTTCAAGAGTCTGTCCAAGGGGCAATCAGCAGTTGCTACAGCAATTTGTTTTAACTTATAAATGAATGTACCCATTGATTCTTGAAGAATATAACTTAGTTCATGAGCTTAGCTCAACTGTCGTACCCTATCAAAACCCAAAATATAAGCTTGTTTCACTCCAATATTTGTTAACAAAGTAAATGTAAACAAACACTATATAGCCTCAAAACATGGTTAAAACATGGTCAGTCCTTGTATCCATAGTCTATGAATTTGAGAGTGGTTATATTTCTCCAGGCCCATCTCTCAGCTTTTTAATGAAACAGTGGCGTGAGAACGCTTTGTTATTGTTTCAACGGCTGATTGCCGCTTTAATGTCACCTCTTTTTCTGTTTTGCTCTCTCTGTGAAGGAGCTGAGTACTTTTTTTCCAACCCACAGAAAGTGCTGGACTGACTTGTTAGGCTCTGGGAAAACTGTCACTTTTGACAGTTAATATAGTGCAGCTACACTTGGCAGGAGGAAACTCTTTTCATCCAAGAGAAGTAATAAAACCCAATGCTACACATGAAGAAAAGGATAGGCTGGCAACTCTACCCAGTAATAAGGCTGGTGACTCTACCATTGCCCAGTAATAAGTGCTCTACCACTTTGACTGTGTTTCTTTGCAATAGTATTAAAGTAAGGCAAAGCAAGGTCCAACATGGTTAAGCTTACCTGCTTGGTAGTCCCTGGGGTTGTCTGTGCCCAGAGCTTGGTTGATATCAGTGAGGGTGCTGGGCTGGGTGGGTTTGGGTTTGGGATTCCCTGTGGGTTTGCTGGGCTTGGGTTTCTCCGTGGTTTTGTTGGGGGTGGGTTTGGTGGTAGGTACGGGAGTGAGCTTCATGGGGTCGGTGGTGGTCTCCTCTGGTGCGGCCTCGTCTCCTTCCTCTTCATGTCCCGCTGGGTCTGTGGATGTGGCCAGAGGATCTGGGGTGGGAAGCATCGCCAGATCTCCAGTCTGGGGGACACTGTCATCAGAACTATCTGGGGTGTCCCCTCTGCCAGGTTTATCCTCGGGACCACTCTCAGATGCTGGTGCCTCAGAGGCCGCATTGGGATCCTGTGGGTCTGAAGGGGTGGTTGTTGGGGCATTCTCCTTGGGGCTGTCCTGCTCTGAGCTTGGCGTAGCTCCTTCAGGGGCACTGGGTGTCTGGTCAGGCTTGGTGCAGGGGGTGGTGCTGTCTGGAGAGGCAGGGGTAGCCTCAGGATCCTCTGAGGCTGAGGGTGTACCCTGTGTGGGGCTGGTAGAGGCTGGGTCGGCGGCTGGGGTGGTTGCAGCATTCTCTAGGTTTGAGGGTGTGGGTTCTGAGTCCTCTGGCATTGTGTTCTCAGATTCTGCCTCCTGACCCTCAGGGTCCAATTCACTCTGTCCTTCAGGTAGGAGTTCAAGGGTGTCCTCTGCAGGAGTAGGCCCAGGCTGGGGCTCTGAGCTCGGGAAGACCTGGTTGGAGGGCTGGGGGGCGGCAGGGGTGGGCTCAGAGGAGGATCCAAGGGGAGTTTGGTCTAATGCAGACAGGCTGCTGCTGGAATCAGGCTGTCCCTCAGGAACACTGGAGTCTGGGAGATAGAAAAACATGAGATTTGATGTCCGTGTCAGATTTGATTTGACTCCAAATGACTCAAAGTAGATTGTGAAACATCTTGTCAAATGCAATTTCCAGGAGCAGTGAAATAGTGAAGACTATCTCATAGACGTTGTATGTGTGAGATGGCTCAGCTATCATCTCCCACACTGTGCCCAGATGCTGTGGTGTATGCATGTATTTTGTAAACTCCTGTCCTGACTGCACAATGAATTGCCCTACTGTGACAATAAAGATTGAATTGAATTGAATCCCTTACCTTCCTTCTCAGTGGGAACCTCCGTGGCTGGTTCGACAAGGGAGGGGTTGAGGTTGACCTCTGCTGGTGGGGTCCCCTCTGGGCCTGGTGTTGCCTCTGGATCCAATTCCTCAGGGAAGGCTGTGTAGTCCCCCTCTAAAATGGCCTCCTGCTCAGGGTCAGTCTCAGTGTCTGTGGGTGAAGGGGTCATGTCCACGGAGGGGTCGGTGGGATTAGAGGTTTCCGAGGGGGCTGGCTCAGTCGGAGATGGCTCTGACCAACTGGTTCTCTCTTGGTTAGGCGTTGCCTCAGGGTCCTCTGGGTTAGAGGTTACTTCTGGATCCACCAGACCAGCTTCAGGGTCCTCTGGGTTAGGGGTTGGCTTTGGATCCACCAGACCAGCTTCAGGGTCCTCTGGGTTAGGGGTTACTTCAGGGTCCTCTGGGTTAGGGGTTACTTCAGGGTCCTCTGGGTTAGGGGTTGCCTTTGGATCCACCAGACCAGTTTCAGGGTCCTCTGGGTTAGGGGTTGCTTCAGGGTCTTCCAGACCAGCCTCAGGAGAGGGAACAGGGAGGTCTGGCCAGGTCTCGCCCTTCACATCTGGAAGGGAATAAGGGCAAATGAATGTAAAGTTTATATTCACACATCTTCTAACTAGCAACTCAGCATAGGCTAAATAAAAAGTGAATTTGTAGCTATGTTGAGAAATGTTGAAAGGGAAAAAAGTTTCTCTCACCATCGCCCTGTTCATCCTGGAGTTCTGGTTCTGGGGTGACCAATGGCATGAGCTGGTCATCTGACAAATCTGAAAATGAATTTAATTGTTTATTAACATAGCTGAGTTATAGGTGGCATGTGTAATTACACAACTCTGTCTCTCTCTGATATTTTCCTGTTTTTCTAGTTAATCCTGGCATGTCTTGAATCAAACCACAGACACTGATGACATTCCAGGCAGGAATACACTTCTACAGTGCCAACAGGTCTGTAGTGGGCTGGCCAGAGTGGATCAATCCAAAAACACCCTGTTTTGTCCCGAATCAACCTTTTGAGTTGCAACCCACATATTACATACTCCCATCTCCTCATCCATCCTGGCCTCATCTCTCCATTCCTCACTTCTCTCTTTGATTGAGGCTGTGCCTGTTGCCCTCCTCCACACGGCCCACTCATAATGACATTATTTCCCCATGTTTCTCTTGGCCATAGGGGCTGGCACGGACACAGAGCACCTGGCTACCTCTAGGGAGACTAGGCCTCTGGGCTCCGGCTCAAGTCACAGCTAGAGAGAGTCACAGTAGCATGACAGGCAGCCAAACCAAAACATCTTGGAATCACACTCTCTACCATGTGCTTGATTGGTCAGGAAAAGTTCAAAAGATCTGTGTTTTTCATTAGACAATATTACTCTCTTATTACAGGGAATGTTTTGAATTTGTCGTTGGAAGATGGGCTGAGTGAATACTGGTGGAAATTCAATTTTCATTCTTATTTAGGGCTGAAGTGTTGGTTGTCCATCTCCTCAGTAAGGTTGTTCTGAAGATACTGACCTTCATTTAGTTCCTCCTGTGGATTGGGAGTCATCTCTGGCTCCTCAGTTGGTTGGATCTGGGGAGGCTCTGGCTCTGGTGTGTCAACCAAGTACTAAATGAGTCAAAGTATCCAAAAGCAACCAACTTTCCTATAATATCTCTCTAAAATCTATTATTTATCATAATTATATACCTTTTGGTTTGTGATCAATTATGTTATCGCATGAGCTAGTCTTCGGTGTTGTTGTACTGGCTGGTCTTGTGCTTGTAGTGGTAACTACTTAAACAGAAAATAGTCAAGATGAACTGACAAGCTTTTGCATTTTAACATGCATACCAATATTTATATGAATATACTATCTTATTTAAATCAAAGCTATACCTTTTGGTTTGTCATCATTTACATTATTACATGAGCTAGTCTTCGTTGTTGTTGTGCTGGCTGGTTTTTTGGTGTCTGTAGTAATTATTAAAAGAGAAAATAGTCAAAATGAACTGACGCAGGCTACTGCATGAGTTTAACATTTACATGCATATTTACATGCATAGTGCCAGCATGCCTATCTTGAAATCAACTAACTCTAACCACTTCTTCATTGTAAGTCATACTATCATTTATACTACATTATTTCATGTCATGCATATTATTTAATACATTAAATAATATGCTATCTTTACCTGTGGATGCAATACAGAAAAGTTGCAGTGCATACAAAAGTATTCACACCCCTTGACCTTTTCCACATTTTGTTGTGTTACAGCCTGAATTGAAAATTGATTAAATTGAGATTTTTTTGTGACTGGCCTTCACAAATAAACCCATAATGCAAAGTGGAATTAGTTTTACAAATAAAATAAAAAAAATTAAAAAATGAAATGTCTTGCGTCAATAAGTATTCAACCCCTTTGTTATGGCAAGCCTAAATAAGTTCAGGAGTAAAAATGTGCTTAACAAGTCACATAACAGCTGTAATCACTGCTTCTACAAAGTATTGACTCAGGAGTGTGAATACTTATGTAAATGAGATATTTCTGTATTTCAATTCAAATAAATTAGCAAATATTTCTAAAAACATGTTTCACTTTGTCATTATGGGTATTTGTTTGTAGATAGGTGAGAAAATACATCTATTGAATCCATTTTGAATTCAGGCTGTAACGCAACAAAATGTGGAATAAGTCAAGGGGTATGAATACTTTCTGAAGGCACTGTACATGCAGGAAAAAACGTGCATGTAGGATTTTACTTCAGAAGACCATGCTAGGTGTGTTTGACATTTTACTACCTTCAATACCACACTGGCTCTTGTAATCTGGGCAGCACTTGCTATAGCGAGCGCAGTCGGGATCACAGTCACACTGCCTGCCCCTCTTAAAGGATTCGCCACACCGCCCTTTACACGAGTCACCTGGTACACAGACACAATCAAACATACAGTACATCCATTATCACACCAGTCCTCTCCTGGTTATGTTATAACACATGCATAATACCTGTACATCAATGTGCGTCTATATCATCTAGAAAACATGTCAAGCACTCTCATGGGTCATTATGATGTTTGTTTATCGTAATGTAACTCAGATACCACTAATAAATAGATAAGAAAAGTCCTTACTGGTGGTGCACTGGGATTCGTAGTCCTTACAGCACTCCTCGTGAGTGAGACAGTCATAATCACACTGGCACATGGAACCCCTGTAATACTCTTCTCCACATCTCCCACTACAGCTTGCTATACAGAAAGGTCAACAACATAAATAATATTTTGTGTCATTCAGTAGTTTAGCACACAGTCATGGAGATATATCCACAAAGAGACAGTCACAAGTCACCAGCTATGACAACAGTATCAATATCATTCCAACAACAAGGCCTTGTCACATGGACTTATCACTTATCACACTGACAAGATAATGGCTGAATCATACATTACAGAGACAGAATAAACTATTTTCCCCTCCTAGTTAATCATTTGTGAATGAATAAATAGAAATCAGTGTATATACAGTATATACAGTCTGTTATACTTTTACAGAAAGCAATTCAGCACGCTCATGGTAATTTACATATAGAGAGTGACAACATGTATCCTTATCATCTCTAACGGAGGTTAGAACAATTTAGAATAAAACCCAGAAACACCACACATCAGAAACTGAATCAAAGCAATTTACATATGCAGTGATTAGAAATACTCACACTGAGCAGAATTGAATGGGAGAGCACAAGCGAGCAGAAGAAGAGCAGAAAGAACTGATGGAGTCATCTTCACAGGTGTTCTCTGTTTCAACCTGAGCAAAAGCATTCAGACAGACAGAAAGGAGAGAAGAAAGAACATCACAACTCAATTAATTTCTATTCCATTATAAATCATATAGCCTATACACAATGACTTGAGAGTGAAAGGTCTCACTGTACCTTGAAAGAGTGACCCTCCGTCCAGATCCTGCTGAGTCCTGCACTGTATCTGCTTTTATAAGGACTGAGAGAGAGGCGGGCTGCCGGTTTCTTCTCTGACAAGGATTCCCGTTAATTGCCATATCCAGTCCAATTAAAACCCACAAGTGATTCGCAGACTAGACTCCTACGCGCTGAAGGGAGGGAACCCTAGACTGCACATTTCCCCCCGCATATTTTGAATAAGAGTTGGACCTGCTTCAACACACGTGTTTACTGTGCCAGTCAGATGACATCACACAGACTGGTGTACCCTTTTCTTTCAAAACAAGATTACAAAAAAAAGTTCAGCAAAAGGATATTCAATTAACTCAAGATAGGCTTATGCTATTTATTTTGTCTTTTGAGATAATTCCTATGAATATTGGCTAAAGTGGCAATCTGCAATAGGTAGGGTAGGTTATTCTATCTTTTTCTGAACTCAATAAAATTCTGTTCTCGGAAATAACATCTCAAATTTCAACCAAGGAGGCTTGAATAAATATTTTGTGTTCAGATCCAAAAGATCTTTTGCCAGTATTTTTCAGGAAGAAGTAGCCTATTTCATTTTATTAGGATATTGCATGATTATGTGATTATGCAATGATTATAGTAATATTTTACTGGAAGCGAATAGACTGGCAGGATCATGCCAGTCTGTTACTCAGAGGACCGTTTGTTTTTCTAAGAATGATTGGTGCGGTTTAGCCTGTGTGGTCAGGCTGGTGTCTGGTTGTTACTCATGCCACATACAAATAAAAGTGTGATTTAGTGAACTTGACTGTGAGACTGCCTTTGAAAGGCAGGGCAAGTCTATCAGCCCATATCCATGCCCCATTGCCAAGGAAACAACGTGTCATAATGACAAATTGGATCAATGTTATTCTTTAATGATAAAAACCTAGGCCTATGATTCAATGCAGATGTTGATTCAATGCTGACAGGTCACTGAAATGTCTTCAAGCAGCATAGCCAAGTTATTTATCACATCAATCCCAGCTAACAACAAACATTCCCATACCTTTAGAAAACATTCCCTTAAGTCGCATTAGGTCATTACCTAATGTTTTCATAAGAATGTTCCAGTGATGTGCAAGGACTGTTTCCAAGAGACCATTCCCTTAATGTGAACCACTGATCCATTGTGCTTTTAACATACAAGGTTTTCAACTTGTATAATTGGCACACATGTCAGTTATCAGTTAATATGACTATTCTCTCATCATTGATTTAATATAATTATTTCAGCAATGTTAGGGTAGCACTACAGGTGAAATGAGACATTGACACAGATATGGTAGCGTAGCAGGAAGATCAGAATGCCATGAACCAAAATATTGTCAGTTCAAATCCCAGGTGAGGGATTGACAACTGAATTAGGAAGGACACCTGTATATTTGTAGTGACTGGGTGTATTGATACACATTCCAAAATGTAATGAATAACTTCACCAGGCTCAAAGGGATATTAAATGTCAGTTTTATTTATTTTTTACCCATCTACCAATAGGTACCCTTCTTTGCGAGGCATTGATAAAAATTACAGTATAAATGACCATGCCCATGTTATAATGTACAGGTAACTGCCAAAATAAAGGACACAAACATAAAGTGTCGTAATAGAGTGTTGGGCCACCACGAGCCAGAACAGCCTCAATGCGCCTTGGCATAGTGTCTGGAACTCTATTGGAGGGATGCGAAACCATTCTTCAATGAGAAATTCCATCATTTGGTGTTTTGTTGATGGTGGTGGAAAACGCTGTCTCAGGCGCTGCTCCAGAATCTCTCATAAGTTTTCAATTGGATTGAGATCTTGTGACTGAGACGGCCATTGCATATGGTTTACATTGTTTTCATGCTCATCAAACCATTCAGTGACCACTTGTGCCCTGTGGATGGGGGCATTGTCTCACTATTGGGGCATAGCCATGGTAGCCAAAATAATGGCCTGCCCAACATTTTTATACATGACCCTAAGCATGATGGAATGTTAATTGCTTTATTAACTCAGGAACCACACCTGTGTGGAAGCACCTACTTTCAATAAACGTTGTATCCCTCATTTACGCAAGTGTTTCCATCATTTTGGCAGTTACAGTACCTTCATGTACACAGAGAGCTAATATTAATAATATGCATGTCAATCTCTCCTGGCTCAAAGTGGAGGAGATATTGACTTGATCACTACTTGTATTTATGAGAGGTATTGACATGTTGAATGCACCGAGCTGTCTGTTTGATCTACTGGCGCACAGCTCGGACACCCATGCATACCCCACAAGACATGCCACCAGAGGTCTCTTCACAGTCCCCAAGTTCAGAACAGACTATGGGAGGTGGACAGTACTACATAGAGCCATGACTACATGGAACTTTATTCCACATCAAGTAACTGATGCAAGCAGTAAAATTAGATTTAAAAAACAGATTTTAAAAAACCTTATGGAACAGCGGGGACTGTGAAGCAACACAAACAGGCACAGACACATGCATACACACACACGATAACATACACACTATACACACACGTACACATGGATTTTGTACTGTAGATATGTGGTAGTGGTGGAGTAGGGGCCTGAGGGCACACAGTGTGTTGTGAAATCTGTGCATGTATTGTAATGTTTTTTAAATTGTATGAACTGCCTTAATTTTGCCTTGGCAGCAGCTAATGGGGATCCATAATAAATACTTGTTCTACATTTTGTTGTGTTACAAAGTGGGATTAAAATTGATTTAATTGTCACTTTTTGTCAACGATCTATACAAAATACTATAGAATGTCAGAGTGGAAAACATCAAACATTTATAAAACATGTATGACAAATAAAACCCTAATATATCTTGATTATATAAGTATGCAACCCCCTGAGTCAATACATGTTAGAATCACCTTTGGCAGCGATTACAGCTGTGAGTCTTTCTGGGTAAGTGCACACATGGATTGTACAATATTTCCACATTATTCTTTTTTTAATTCTTCAAGCTCTGTCAAGTTGTTTGCTGATCATTGCTAAACAGCCATTTTCAAGACTTGCCATAGATTTTCAAGCCGATTTAAGTCAAAACTGTAACTAGGTCACTCAGGAACATTCAATGTCATCAACTCCAATGTATATTTGGCCTTCTGTTTTAGGTTATTGTCCTGCTGAAAGGTGAATTTGTCTCCCAGTGTCTGTTTGGAAAGCAGACAGAACTAGGTTTTCCTCTAGGATTTTGCCTGTGCTTAGCTCTATTCCGTTGCAGGACGCTGTAACGTCGATGCAGGGAGTCAGGAAGCAGGTGCAGTTAGTGAGTTTAATATTAACTAACATAGAACGATGCAAAACAAGCGAAATATCTGACAAGGAAACAACCAATACGCCCCGATAACTGATAACAAAAGAGTACTATATAAAAGGGTAAGTAATCAGGGAGTAATGAAGTCCAGGTGTGACTTATTATGAGACGCAGGTGTGCGTAAAGATGGGTTGCCAGGACCGGTGGTTAGTAGACTGGCGATGTCGAGCGCCGGAGAGGGGGAGCGGGAGTAGACTTGACAGATGCATGTTTCTGAATATTTTTATTCTGTACAGGCTTCCTTCTTTTCACTCTGTCAATTAGATTAGTAATGTGGAGTAACTACAATGTTGTTGATCCATCCTCAGTTTTCTCCTATCACAGACATTAAACTCTGTTACTGTTTTAAAGTCACCATTGACCTCATGGTGAAAATAAAATGTGGAAAAGTGAAGGGGTGTGAATACTTTCGGAAGGCACTGTACCTGTATATCAAATACGTAAGTTGATAACACTATGTTAAAAGCACTTTTTTTGTGGGTGAGTGTCCCTAACCTTGCCAACATACAAAGAGCTGTGAATGGATCGGTTGTTCAACAATCAGAGCTTTGATTGGCTCTTGAACAGTAACAAGATGTGATGTGTAATGAATACTTTTTTTGACACAAATGTTCCCATGAAACGTGTCTAGAGCATTAATATATTATGTTCTGAGAACATGGCAACAATTTTCTGTGTATGTTTGGTGGGACGTTGATGGAATATTCTCCTAACCCACAGAAAACTGGACACATTACTGTTTTTGCCACCTTCCCATGTAACGTGTCTAGAACATTAATATCTTATGTTCTGAGAACATGGCAACCATGTTCTGTAAATGTTTGGTGAGACGTTGATAGAATATTCTCGTAACCCACAGAAAACTGGACTCATTAAGTTCTTGCAACGTTCCCATGAAGCGTGTCTAGAACATT